ACTACACCCAATACCCCTGTCGAGGTCTCCCGGTTCCTCCTCCCCCTCTCTTCCTGACTCCCACTCCCCCTCCGGCTCCTCAGGTACAGCCTCCCCCCCCTGGTCCAGCCCCGTCAGGTGTGTCACACGCTATCCCCCCCCCCCCCCCCCCTCGGTAGCCCCTCAGGTCTCGTCCCCTTCTCCGCAGTCCTCCTCATAGTCACCGCAGCAGCCGTCAGCACTTCCTCCACAGGCTACTGCAGACCCTGAGGGTGATGGTGTCCGTAGCGCGGACCCTGGAGGTGCTACCTCTAGAGGGGTTGGAGTTGGAGCTGAGAGTGTGCCTCCACGAGGTTCTGGTGCCGGGGGTGCTGGAGTTGGAGCTGAGCCCGAGTCTGCAGGAGGTTCTAGTCGTCGGGGAGCTGGTGTTAGTCGCTCTGTCCCTGGGGGTGCTACGACTGGGGGTGCCACGACGGGGGGTGCGGTTGCACCCACTACGGGACCTGGAGAGTCTAGGACTGGCCGCGTTGCTGCTGGTGGTGCTGGCTCTGGGGGTGGTGCGACTGGTGCTTTGGAGGGCGGTCCTGGGGCTACCACCACCCCGGACACTACTCCTCCCCCCCACCCCTACCCGACCCGGCACCAGGCCCGTGTTCGCCGTGCACGTGAGGAGCAGCTGGAGTTGGAGCGAGAGGAGAGAGAGTTGGAGCGGCAGCAGCTGGAGCTACAGCAGCTGGAGGAGCAGCAGGAGCAGCAGCTGCAGCAGCAGCCGCAGCAGCAGCCGCCGCAGCAGGGGCAACAGGAGCAGCAGCAGCAGCCGCAGCAGGAGCAGCCGCAGCGGCAGCCGCCGCAGCAGCAGCAGCAGCAGCAGCAGCTGCCACCTCCGCCTCCTGTTTCTGGTCTTCGGACCCTCGGTCTCCCCTCTCCTTCTCCTCCCCCCTCCCCCTCTCCCCCTGTCTACGGTCCCACGTTTCCTCCTCCTGACCCCACCCCGGCTTTTTTCCCCCGTTCTCAGCCTCCGTTGTCACCTCCTCTTTCTCACACTTGGGCTTCTCGCTCTCCTCGTGCTCGTCCCTCGTTCCCTGTCCCTCTCACTGACCTTGGTACTGTCCTGTTCCGTCCTAGTCCGCCTCGTTCGTCGCCGTCTGCGCTTCCTTCTCCCCCTGAGTCAGCCCTCACTTCTTCCCTCTCTACTCCTGTCACTGACTACTACCGCGCGTTCCGTCCTGTTCTCTCTCGTGTTCTCGCCTCTCTTGTTATCGACCCCTGTGCTTCTCTGTCCTCTGTCTCCTCTTACTGCCGCAGTCACTGAGTTTGCCTCTACTCGCCGCCTTGACTACGCCACTAGTCTCGTGGCTGCTCCTCCTACCAGTCCTCTGGCCGTCGGGGGCGAGTCTGCCCTTGGCTGTGACGCCCTAAAGGACAGGCAGTTTGAGCTGGAGTTCCTGGCAGCCGCTTCCCCTCATCTCTGTGCCATGCTGCTCGCCCCTGAGGGAGACCCCGACGCCCTTGACATACCGACTCCTCGCACTTACGCTGAGGCAGTGTCTGGGCCTTGGGCCTCTCAGTGGAGAGCTACTATGGACTCAGAGATGGCCTCCTACGGATCCATAGGCCCCTACGTCGACGAGGTTCCCCCCCCTTGGGCGAACGTAGTCGATGGCATGTGGATCTTCAGGGTGAAGCGCCCACCGGGATCTCCTCCGGTCTTCAAGGCGCGCTATGTGGCTAGAGGTTTCAGTCAGCGCGAGGGAGTTGACTTCTTTCCGACCTTCGCGCCTACCCCGAAGATGACCACTCTTCGGGTGTTACTGCACGTAGCAGCACAGAGAGACTACGAGTTACACTCTCTCGACTTCTCCACTGCCTTCCTTCAGGGTAGTCTACACGAGGAGGTCTGGTTGCATCGTCCCTCTGCATTCACTGACACTTTCCCTCCTGGGACCCAGTGGAGGCTGAGGCGACCGGTCTACGGTCTCCGTCAGGCTCCTCGTGAGTGGCACGACACCCTTCGCTCTACCCTGTCTGACCTCGGTTTCCAGCCGTCTTCTGCCAACCCGTCGCTGTTCGTTCATCGTGGCTCCACACCGTTCTTTGTACTGGTCTACGTCGACGACCTGGTTTTCGACACTGCTGACAGGGTTGCTTTGGCTGACGTGAAGTCCGAACTGCAGAAGAGACACACGTGCACTGACCTTGGTGAGCTGCGCCACTACCTTGGCCTGCAGATCTCCAGGGACAGAGCCGCTCGCACCATTACACTCTCACACTCACACATGGTGCAGCAGGTCCTTCAGCGGTTCGAGCTTCAGCACTCCACAGTACAGCGCACACCTCTTGCCGTTGACCACAGACTCACTGGTCCATTTCCTGACGAGCCGTTTGAACCTAGTGGTCCTTACGCATAGCTTGTGGGCTGCCTCATGTACCTGATGACTTGTACTCGCCCGGACCTCGCCTTCCCTCTCAGCATCCTTGCTCGCTTTGTTGCGCCAGGGAGACACTGTCCTGTTCACTGGACAGCGGCTGTGAGGGTGGCGAAGTACCTAGCGACAACATCAGGCGTGGGGCTGGTTCTTGGAGGGGGACAGTTTTCGTACTTACTGGTCACTGTGACTCTTCTTACACTGACGACGCCGAGACTCACCAGTCTACTCAGGGGTACTGTTTCAGCCTGGGCTCTGGAGCTGTTTCGTGGAGGTCCACACGTTCCTCCTCGGTCTCGACCTCTACCGCTGAGGCTGAGATCTACGCTGGAGCCATGGCTGCACAGGAGCTGCGCTGGTTGACCTTCTTGCTCACTGACCTTGGTGAGCGGCCGAGCTCTGCACCGACCTTGTTCACTGACAACAAGGCATCGATTCTCCTCTGTCGAGAGCCGTGACTGGAGAGCAGAGTGAAGCACATCAACGTCAGGTACTTTCTTTTGCGAGAGTTGCAGAGGCGTGGACAGGCTCGCTTCGACTTTGTGGAGTCCGAGGCCAACACTGCAGACATCTTCACCAAGGCCCTTCCGCCTTGTGACCACCATAGGTGTTGTGTGCAGTTAGGTCTTGTTGTTGCAGGTTCTCGTCTTGCGTAGACTTGAGTTCTCTACTTACTTTGTTTGTATACTTTGCTTATACCTCTGTGAACTCTTGAACTGGCCTTGTGGCTCTTTTGCTAGCGCTCAGACTGTGTGGAACAGGGAGAGTGGAGCTCGGAACGGAAGACCGCTGGGAAGCTACCTTTGACCTGTTGCATGACATATCAGAGATTATAGTCTACATCGGTGCAAAAAGTATTTATTGCTAAAGAGAGAGTTCGCCTATAAAATTATGTTACAGATCACTTGTACCACAGCACGAAAATAGCTGCACCTGGTTCGCAGCTGCCTAGGCCAGGGCGCCGACAATTTGATGTGAAAGGTATACAGTATTTCTGGATTGTGAGTTGCCCTGCCCTTGGGCCGATATTTGGTGAGCGAGAGTACGTGGTGGGGCTCAACATGCTGTGGGTGAAATTTATTTCGGCACATAACATTGAATATAACACGCCTGCTGCTGGTAAGATAATCATTTTCGACGAACGTCCGCCGTCACTTCATCGTGCCTGACGGCTGACCGAGTCGAATTGTTCATTACTTGCGCGGCTCCCTCAAGTCCCAGCCCAGCATTTCTCAAAGTGGACCAATATCGCCGCAAGACACGGCAGCCCCTAGGCAATGGCGGCGCGCTGCGACGCACTGCCCGCACCAGGCCCGCCCCATCAAGGTCACGGTGAAACCAATCTCGAAGAAATGCATCACAGAGCGGGTCATATTTCATTCGTTACAACTTACATGGTAGGGTTCTGTTTGGTACGCAATGGTCTAAAGCGGTGGTGAACGAGAACGAGAAGGAAAGTTGAAACCAGCTGTGTTGGGTTGCTTGCGAAGTGAGCTGCAACCCAAAAAGCTGCGAGCAATTATTGTCCTGGGAAGTGCCTGGAATGGAAGCACAACAGCATAGTACCCAGGTGAGCGACTAATAATGCCGTGTTTCAGAGCGCACCAATAATTTACGATCACAGGGAGAAGATACGGGTGACACAGGGAGAAAGCTTCGAGCTGAGAGTTGACGTATCTCGTTTCCAATCTGACAAACTCAGTTCCAAGTCCCAGTTACATGCTCCTCACTGCCTAGCGGGAACAGTCTTTCTTATCAGTTGCCTCTTCCCCTCATTCTGAGCAGGCGTATCTAAAATTTTCAGCATCTTCCTGCACCTCGCTGCACCGCACTGTAGCCACTACTATCTGTTACGCATTTCGCTTACCTGAAGCTCTTATGCTGCGGGACCCTACGTCAAACTAGCACTCGACGAGGAAGTACTAGCACTTGCGGCTGAAGCGCTGCTTTAACACTAGCAAGGCTCCGCATCTCGTCTACGATAAATAAAATGCGGAAAATTGCGTCGATTGTGCTCGTTGCGGTTCTTCTGGTTGTCGGCTCTGGCGAAGCGGAAGCACTCCATTCTCTAGGTAAGATCCACCAGAAATGGTTTGGACGAAATGTTGCAATTCTGATATGATGTTGCTTCATTGTTTCAAGTGCTTATCAGATGGTTCCTGTAGCTAAGATCCTTACGTGCACCCGATCTTAGAAACCTGATTCTCGCGCGAACATGTGCAGGAAATGAGCGACAGGGTCAGCGACGGATTCTGTCGCAGGGCTCGTCAAATTTCATTAAGAAGCCGACAATCTTCGTCACCGCGAGCGGCAGCAACGCGGAGTCGACCATTCGGAACGCGATAGCTCAAGCAGGCTCCAAGGTAAAACCACGAGTAATAATAGCCTTCAGCATTCAGTGCCGCTTTTTCAAGCCTGAAATTTCAGAATGATTTCACTGCCAGTCTGTTCAACCTGCCATTCTTTTCATATCGGCGACACAGTTGTATATTCCTTTCGCAGCTGGGTATCCCGTACTTACATCTTACATCCACATTTAGTCATTGCGTTCCATCTTACACCCATACCCGCATTTTCCGTGTCCGACAGACAGCCATGGTGGAGGTGACTCTCAAGAGTGACATTACTCTAACCAGGCAAGCATACAAAACAATTCTACAGTCCCTCCTACAAAGCAATTTCTACCATGCCGGTGCGCCATTGCACCTTAGAATATATCGGTACCACGTCAATAGTACTTCAGTGAGGGTTCCAGCAGACGTTTTTTGCCCAAGCTCTGTTACGTGGTAACCTCACCTCATTCTTTGCGTTCGTGTCCCCTCCTTTCGCCACGCTTGCTCCGCGCAGTGGGTTCCCTGCCATCGGGTTCGCTTCCGGAATCATCTTGAAAGGCGCCTGTGACAACAGAAATAATAAAGTGTGAGTAGTGACATATGCTCCTTGGATGTTCCTCACTGTTACGTCGAGGTGATCTCTGAGTGGTGACCTTCGTCTTTTGAGGCGCCTCAAAATTGCGGGTAATGAGACGACTTTTGAGGCGCCTCAAAATGTTCCTTACTGTTACGTTGAGGTGATTTTGGAGTAGTGTGAGTATTGACCTGCGTCGAGGAACAAACTCAAAGAGTCAGCGTGTGTCGTCTACCCTCCTCTGATTGTAAATCAGCGTGGTAGGAAGTTCCTTCTACGTCGAGTGCGTGCAAATCTTTGACATTCGCGATAGTCACCATTCAAGACTGGTACTCACTTGCTCATGACCTCCCTGTCAGCTCTCGCGCCTCGTTCACTCCGTTTCCCTCACGCCCTTCCCCTCAAGCGATCCGTTTTCCCTCCCGTCACGCCCCTCGCTGTCCTTCTCTCCCACCCCCAACCCCTCTCAGTTGCATCGTCGACGGTAACAAGAAGTTTCGCATATTCTCGGGTAACTTCGCATGCGGCATCGTGCTGGAGAACCTGGTGGTGCAGCACGCGCTTAACGGCGTGCACGTGGGCGCCTGCCAGCTCGCTGCGCGCCGAGTCAAGTGATCCGTTTCCCTCACGGCCTTCTCGTCAAGTGATCCGTTTCCCTCACGCCTAATTCCTCAAGCGATTCGTTCCCCCTTCCGTCACGCCCCTCGCTGTCCTTCTCCCCCGTTTCCCCCCCCTTCCCCTCCCTCCCTTCAGTTGCGTCGTCGACGGTAACAAGAAGTTTCGCATATTCTCGGGTAACTTCGCGTGCGGCATCGTGCTGGAGAACCTGGTGGTGCAGCACGCGCTCAACGGCGTGCACGTGGGCGCCTGCCAGTTCGCTGCGCGCCGAGTCACCTTCCAACACAATGTCGCGGATAAGACCTCCACTGGAGGGGCGGTTTTCAAGTGAGTTGAGCACCTAGAAACAGCCTTGAACAGTTTCTTTAAACGCCTCAGAAACGACGCGCCCACGTGCTACTGGCTCGCCCCCTGCGCGCCGAGTCACCATCTTCCAGAACAAGCGGAGAACCTGGTGGTGCAGCACGCGCTCAACGGCGTGCACGTGGGCGCCTGCCAGTTCGCTGCGCGCCGAGTCACCTTCCAACACAATGTCGCGGATAAGAGCTCCACCGGCGGGGCGGTTTTCAAGTGAGTGCTTGTAACGAACTGGGTCAGCCCAGTTGTTAGATCAACGGATCCTGAACGAGCTAACAGTTGCGCGCCGAGTCACCTACCAGCACAACGTGGCGGATAAGAGCTCACCTGGATGAGCGGCTTTCAAGTGAGTGTCAGCTAGTGAGTGCCTGAACGCTTCAGCTAGTAGATTCGCGCCGAGTTCCCTTCTTCCAGCTTTAAGGACAGCTCGCCTACCGCTGGATCGCCCCTGCAGTTCACCTGCTTCTTTCTCAACACGTTTGCTCTGCGAACAGGAGAGTGGGCAGGTCGATCACTCACAGTCTCTCGCTCCCCTCACTGTCCTTTGTATCTCCCTCTAACCCCCTATCAGCTCGAGGGACAGCTCGCCGACCGCTGGATCGCCCCTGCAGTTCACCTGCTTCTTTCTCAACACGTTTGCTCTGCGAACAGGAGAGTGGGCAGGTCGATCACTCACAGTCTCTCGCTCCCCTCACTGTCCTTTGTATCTCCCTCTAACCCCCTATCAGCTCGAGGGACAGCTCGCCTACCGCTGGATCGCCCCTGCAGTTCACCTGCTTCTTTCTCAACACGTTTTCTCTGCGAACAGGCGAGTGGGCAGGTCGATCACTCACAGTCTCTCGCTCCCCTCACTGTCCTTTGTATCTCCCTCTAACCCCCCGCCAGCTCTAGGGACAGCTCACTTACGGCTGGCTCGCCCCTGCAGTTCACTTCCTGCTTCTTCCTCAATACCACCGCCGTCACACGTCTCTCTTCCCTACTGTCCTTCTCCCCCATCTCCCCTTGTCCCTTATTCCTCACCAGCTCTAGGGACAGCTCACCCACTGCTGGCTCGCCCCTGCAGTTCACTTCCTGCTTCTTCCTCAATAACACAGCCGTCACACGTCTCTCTTCCCTACTGTCCTTCTCCCCCATCTCCCCTTGTCCCTTTTTCCTCTCCAGCTCTAGAGACAGCTCACCCACGGCTGGCTCGCCCCTGCAGTTCACTACGTGCGTCTTCCTTAACAATACCGCTGCCGGAAATGGCGGCGTTATCAACGTGGGGAGGGACCCCACGGGAGGGCCCGATGTGAAGATCGCTAAGTGCACTTTTAGTAAAAACTCGGCGGGAGGCAGTGGAGGCGCGATTTATTCTGAAGGGAGTGAGCTTTACCTGCGCCAGTCGACCTTCTCCCAGAACATCGCTGGTAATTGCACTTGTTCACACACTCAGCCACGTGCTCATTTGGTGGTAATACAGCTTGATTTCACACATCTTCATTTCACCAGCTTTACTCCGAAAGGAGTGAGCTTTACCTGCGGCGCCAGTCGACCTTCTCCCAGAACACCGCTGGTAATTACACTTGCTCATCAGCTGCTAGTAACGCACGTGTTACACATGCTCGCCTTTCGACCAGCTTTGTGGCGTAACAGAATTGAGTCAATCTGTATGCAGAACACTGCTGGCAACCACACACACAAGCTCATTTCTGACCCTGAACCACATTCTCTCGTCCCTCCTTCTCTTCTACATCCTCATTCCCCCCCCCCTTCCCCTCGTCTCCGTCCCGCTCAGCTCGTGTGGGGCCATCTTCACCACAAGCCCCTACCTCACCTCCATTGGCTCTAGATTCTCCGCCAACGCAGTGGTATCCACTGTCCCCCCCCTCTTTCCCCCCCCCACATCCCCCCCCGTTCCCCCCAGCTCGTGGCGGTGGTGCAATCTTCACCACGAGCCACTACCTCACCTCCATCGGCACTAGATTCTCCGCCCTCCCTGCAAGCGCAGGGCGCAGTGCTGCAATTCTGCAACTCCAACTTCCGCCGCAACAGGGCGTCGGTTTTCTCACCACTCCTCCCTCTCTCTCCCCTACCCTCCCCCCCATTCTTCCCCTCTCCTCGTCCCCGTTTCCCTCAGCTCGTGGCGGCGGTGCTATCCTCACCACAAGTCCAATCCTCACCTCCATCGGGACGCGTTTCTCAGCCAACGCAGTGACAAACGGGCGGGGCGGTGCAATCTCCATACAAGCACAGGGCGCGGTGGTGCAGTTCTGCAACTCCAACTTCCGGCGCAACAGGGCGCCGGTGTATCCCGTGTCGAATGACATGAACGCCGGGACGAGTGATGGCACGGTTACCGCGTGTGGTAGCACGGGGCCGAGGCGGATCCGGAAAACTCCTGCGTTGAAGGAGGTCCAGAGCTGCAGGTAAGACTTCCGCGCTTGCATGCAAGCACAGGACGTGAAAGTCCAATTCTGCAGCTCCTACTTCCGGCGCAACAGGGCGACGGTGTATCCCCTGTCGAATGACATGAACGCTGGGACGAGTGTGACGGCACAGTTACCGCGTGTGGTAGCACGGGGCCGAGAAGGATCCGGAAAACGCCTGCCCTGAAGGAGGTCCAGAGCTGCAGGTGAGGCTTCTGAGCCCTGGAAGTAGGGTTCGTGTTTCGCAGGAGAGACTTCCGGCACAACAGGGCGCCGGTGTATCCCGTGTCGAATGACATGAACGCCGGGACGAGTGTGACGGCACAGTTACCGCGTGTGGTAGCACGGGGCCGAGAAGGATCCGGAAAACGCCTGCCCTGAAGGAGGTCCAGAGCTGCAGGTGAGGCTTCTGAGCCCTGGAAGTAGGGTTCGTGTTTCGCAGGAGAGACTTCCGGCACAACAGGGCGCCGGTGTATCCCGTGTCGAATGACATGAACGCCGGGACGAGTGTGACGGCACAGTTACCGCGTGTGGTAGCACGGGGCCGAGAAGGATCCGGAAAACGCCTGCCCTGAAGGAGGTCCAGAGCTGCAGGTGAGGCTTCTGAGCCCTGGAAGTAGGGTTCGTGTTTCGCAGGAGAGACTTCCGGCACAACAGGGCGCCGGTGTATCCCGTGTCGAATGACATGAACGCGGGGACGAGTGACGGCATGGTTACCGCGTGTGGTAGCACGGGGCCGAGAAGGATCTGGAAAACGCCTGCCCTGAAGGAGGTCCAGAGCTGCAGGTGAGGCTACTGCTCTTCGGAACTTTCACATGCGCTTTGGACCTGCAGCCGAGAAGGCTACTGCGCTTGCATGTGAAAGTTCCGGAAGCTGCTTCGCCCTTGTGTGTGAGGGCACTTGAGCCGTGAGATCCCAAGGGAGAAGTGGTTTCCATGCAAGCCCAGGGCGCGAGGGTGCAGTGTTCTGCAATAGTAGCTTTCGGAGAAGCTTCAGGGTTTCGGGTTTAGTCCCGGTGTCGAATGACATGAACGCCGGGACGAGTGACGGCTCGGTGACTGCGTGTGGGAGCACGGGGCCAAGATGCATAAAAAAAACAGCTGAGCCGGAAGTGAACCAGCGCTACAGGTTCATGTGTTGCACATTGTAACAAGGTGACTATTGAGTCTACTCAAAAATATTGTTGTGCTCATTTTGCCAGATCTCAACCCCTACTGCAAGTGCCAGAGCCAGTTCGACCCTGCTGCAGCCTGCACTGCACCTCATGCCCTCTGTTTATCCCTCCTCCCCTCCCATGTCTACCCCCTTTCCCTGTCTACCCGCGTTCCCCTCCTCTTTGCAGTGGCTGCACTGGCTGCTCTAACGACTGCAACGGCCGTGGCACTTGTGCTTTAGACTCGGATTTCAACCCCTACTGCAAGTGCCAGAACCAGTTCGACCCTGCCAAAGCCTGCACTGTGTGCAAGCAGGGGTACACGATCGAGTCCAAGTGCGTTGCCTGCGCCCCCTGGTTCTTCTCAGGGCAGAAGGGGCGCTGCACCGTGTGTGGCACCGTGGACAAGGTGGGTGGTAGTGTGGATAAGGTGGGTGGCAGGGACTATAAAGCATGTGAGAGTAAGGGACTCAAGGAGCACTGCCAGCACTGCCTGCACTGCCAGCACTGCCAGCACTGCCAGCACTGCCAGCACTGCCAGCACTGCCTGCACTGCCTGCACTGCCTGCACTGCCTGCACTGCCTGCACTGCCTGCACTGCCTGCACTGCCTGCACTGCCTGCACTGCCTGCACTGCCTGCACTGCCTGCACTGCCTCCACTGCCTGCACTGCCTGCACTGCCTGCACTGCCTGCACTGCCTCCACTGCCTGCACTGCTTGCCAAAGCCTGCACGGTGTGCAAGATGGGGTACACGATGGAGTCCAAGTGCTCTGCCTGTGCCCCGGAGTCCTTCTCAGGGCAGAAGGGGCGCTGCAGCGTGTGTGGCAGCGTGGACAAGGTACGTGGCTGTGACTGTAAAGCATGTGAGAGGGAGGGCCCAGAACCTCATCCCATCCCCCCCCTCCTTAACCCTCCCCTTTTCCCTTCCCCGTCCACTGCCTCTCTTCCTTCGCACGAGCAGATCCAAGATCTTACAGGCGAGCTCTCGAACCTCAACAACGCCACACAAGCTGCTTCCTCCAAGCGGTGCCAGCAGATGTGCCAAAGAGCCCAGTCCCAGACGAAGCTGTACAAGAACTACTGCAATCTGTGGGCCTTTGTGGAGAACAGGTGAGAGATCCAGATTTACGGTGTTGTAGTCTGGCACCTCTTCTCCAAGGAAGAGCCAGCAGACGTGCCAGAGGGTCCAGACACAGACGAAGCAGTACAAGAACTACTGCAACCTGTGGGCTTTCGTTGAGAACAGGTGAGGGTTGAGGCGCTTGAAAAGGTGAGTTTTGAGGCGATTTATATGCCAGCAGACGTGTCAGCGGGTCAGGCACAGACGAAGCAGTACAAGAACTACTGCAACCTGTGGGCCTTTGTTGAGAACAGGTAAGAGCCAGGTTCTGAGTCGACTTGAATGTAAGCAGATGTGTCAGAGGGCGCAGTCACAGACGAAGCTGTACAATAACTACTGCAATCTGTGGGCCTTCGTTGAGAACAGGTGAGCGCCAGATCTGGATTCCCTGTTGTTGCAGATGTTTTTTAGGTTACGAAAAAATCACCTGCAACAAAGCGGTGCCAGTAGATGTGCCAGAGGGCCCGGGCACAGCCGAAGCAGTACAAGAATTACTGCAACCTGTGCGCTTTCGTGGAACATTCTTGCACCTTGCGATTGCATGTGCTGTTTACAAGTTTTCACCCTGCAGAGAGTTTTGTAGCTCCTAAAAGAACCATTCCTCCTTGCACCTTTCTATTGTTTGTGCAGTTACAAGGTTCCATCCTGCCGAGGCAGCTGCCTTCTTTTCGATGACGAGTCGGAGTGTGGAGTGCGCAACGTGACGCGAGATGCGAAGAGGAACGTTGTTTACCAATTTATGGAGCCCAGTTTCCTGGCCTGCGACTAGAAGGCATCAAATTGCCCTTGCCCATACCCTTCTAAGGGGCATTGATAATCCTCTAATTTCTCTACCGGCCCTCTGTTCCACGCATTGTGATGCTATATAATGACAGCACCATAAGAAACCTAAGTTTCTTATAGTGCTTCCCCTGTGAAAACCTTGAAGTTCAGAGTTTGTTTGCAAATGTGTAGATAGAATAGTACTACATAAAGTTTGTTTGATGCAAGCCTGGCCAGAGCTTAAAAGAATTATGTTCCATTTGCTGAAATTGCAAGTTGATCTACATGTAGAAACCTATAACCACCCAATGGTAGATGTGAGTCATCACCAAATGTCCAAGCCTGAAAGCCAAGCTTTGCGAGCCTGTTCCCGAGATGCAAGGCTGGCAGAGCAACAGACGGGATGCAGCGAGCCCACAGTCATCAACAACTTATTTCGCGCATGGATGGGTAACGCTCACGAAAACAGTTGAGTTCACATGTACAGCACCTTGGAGTGTCGTCTTCGAGTCATATTACGTGTAACAAGCGGCTCGTTAGAACCAAGGCTTTTCGCCAGAGAACCACTGCCCTGCTAAACTCCCTTCTCTGTGATGTCTGTCACCCACCACCGCCGACGCCGCAGACGGATTTGTGTGTGGTTGGATTGGGTCGAGACTCGAGATAAAATGAGTGGCCATCCCCGTCTTCTGCTGCACTGATGTTTCAAGGACACTGGCGTAATTGTCCATTGGTCATCCAGTGCGGTTCGGTAATTTTCCAGGCGTTACGAAACGGTTATTGTTTATCACCGTTCTAGACCGCAACACACCTCCTCATATATTCAGTCAATTTCCCTGCTCGTTTTCACTCCCTTGTCACTCACATTCTTGCTCCTAACTTACACTTCAGCAGTTCCCTCTGCTATACTAACTTCAGCTGCGAAGGTCGTTCTGTCATTTGCGTCCTAGATTTTCAACGGTTTTACGTACGTGACTGCTGACGTTAGGGAAAATTGTCCAGCAGATTGGAGTATTTTAACGGTTTAGCACGTGATCAACTAGGGTGCTAGCGGGATAGAGTTTCTTATCAGCGGTCTCGCATACTGTTGTCTTTTTCAGCTATTATTTCTGTCTTCTTTGTTTATCTTTACGCAGGAAGGCGTCTGCTGCAGGCAATGACATAATTTGGCTCTGGCTGATCCGAGTACTAATTAATCAGTCCTTACAACTTAGTGGGCATTAGTAGTCAATATCGGCCAAAACTCGCGCCTCTTTTTATCGTTTCGTCGTTTTCTCCTGCCACTTGCTTGAAGTCCGCCACTCAATTGGATGCGAGCTCTGAAAATGGCGGAACTTAAGACTCAAGAGTTCGAAGCAGATGGAGTCGACACCATAGTTACAGCAGACGACCGACCTTCACCGCGCAGCAAACCTGCTTATGGCACGTTCCTGCGAGGGATGTGGCCGTTCAGTCACAGCGCCAAGTATCACTCCCACAATAGTCACACTCCCAACGGTCACACTTTCGCGCACACTCGTTCTCTGAAAGAGACGATCAAGCACCACCTTTCTCCCGACCTCAAACCATCCGAACCTACAACCGGACCTTCGACCGAACCTCTAGCCGAACCAGGCACGCCGGAGCTACAGCAAGCGAGCCGTTCCCCTGGGAAGCGGGGTTTTCTCGGCCTGCTGCAATCCCGATCGCGCCGAGACCGATCCTCGTCCCATTCCTCGTCCCTAGGTTCGGAATCGAGCAGTGGGACTGGAGGGAAGTCTGTATCTGGACCGTCGACAGCCAGACGCAAAAGTGGGTCAAGATCGTCCTTTGGAAAAGAGTCAGGAAATGAGAAGGAAATTCAGGCGGGGGCTGGCAATGTCAGTAAGGCTGTTGACAGTGGCGCTTCTGCTGCGGCTGTCCCGTCGCCGGACATGTCGCACGCGTCGCCATCCCAGTCGCACACGTCGCCGTCACAGTCACACACGTCGCCGTCGCCGTCGCATGTCACACCCGCCAGACGTTCGCAGGCCCTTCGCGAATGGAGGTGGACGAAGGGCCAATGCATCAAGGGCCCGCGGTTTCACAAGCGGATAACACGGAAGACGAAGTGACTAGTGCGAATTCTGTTAGCCATCTTGTCGGAGACAGAGAAAATTCATCAGTTGTGGAGGAGGAGAAAGAGGCTTCGGCGTTTGCCGCAGGTTTTGCAGCTGAAGCTGCTGCTGCTGTTGCGGCAGTGCCTGCTCCTCCTGCTGTGCCCCTTGCTGCTGCTGCTGCTCCCGCGCCTGCTTCTCCTGCTGCTCCTCTTGCTGCTGTTCCTCCTGCTGTTCGTCTTGCCGCTGCTCCTCCTCTTGCTGTTCCTCCTGCTGCTGTTGTTCCCCCTGCCGCTGCTCCTCTTGCCGAGGCGAAGGCCGTGGAGCATGGTATGCTAGAACTGACCATGAATGAAGGGCCGGCTCACAGCAGCACAGAGGCACCACACGGCAGTGATGGCTTAGATGACGCTGGTAGGTCGTCACCGCTTGCGCCTAGTGTTACTGAGGCTGCCGCGAGTTATTGCTGCTGATCCTGCTCCTCCTGCTGCTTCTGCTCCTGCTGCTGTTGCGTCTGGTGCCGCCGCCGCTGCCGTCGCCCCTGCTGTTGCTGCTTCTGCCGTTGTTGGCACCGCTGCTGCTCCTGTGGCTGCACCTTCCTTTGATGCAGAGATTCCCGTTGCATCTGTGCCTTCGTCTGCTGCAGCTTCGGCAGCAGCTGCTGCTGCTTCGCCTGCTGTTGCTGCTTCTGCCGTTGTTGGCACCGCTGCTGCTCCTGTGGCTGCACCTTCCTTTGATGCAGAGATTCCCGTTGGATGTGCGCCTTCGTCTACTGCTTCTGCAGCAGCTGCTGCTGCTTCGCCTGCTGCTGCTGCTTCAGCCGCTTCTGCTGTGGGAACATCTTCCCCTAATGCACTACTCCACGATGTCCACGATGCATCTGTGCATTCTCCTGCTGCCACGTGGGCGGACGAGGGGGAGAAAAAGGAGGTAGGGTTGGAAGTAGAGGAGGAGGAGGAGGGAAGGAAGGATGGGGAGGAGAAGGAGGAGCAGGAGGAAGGGGGGAGGAAGGTTGAGGAGGAGGGTGAGAGAGAGGAGGAGATGGAGGGACCGATGACGACAGAGATGGTTGAGGAGGAGAGAAAGAGGGAGGAGGAGATTGAGGTGATTGAGGAGGAGACGAGGGGGAAGGAGGAGGGGGAAGAGGAGGGCGGAGGGCTTGTTACTGTGAGCATGGATGTTTCAGTTGGTGGGGAAGATGGAGCAGGGGATGAAGGGATGATGGAAGAGGAAAGTGCGACAGAGCAAGGGGGTGCAACCTCTGCTGCCGCTGCTTCTGCTGATGCCGCTGCTCCCTCTGTTGCCACTGCTGATGCAGCAGCTGCTGCTCTTGATGCCCCTGCACTCCCCTCTCACGAACCTTCCACGGCTCTTGATGCCCCTGCACTCCCATCACACGAACCTTCCACGTCTCTTGATGCCCCTGCACTCCCATCACACGAACCTTCCACATCTCTGGACGCATGTCTGCACCTGCTGATGAGCATAGACGAAGCTGACATGGCGGCAGGCCTGGTAGCTGCAGCAGGCCACGTGGCAGGTGGGGACGCTGACGTGGTGCACGAGGTGTTTGACGCCCTGCCCTTCCACTTCGTCCGATCGCTGCTGGAAGAATCAGTCGGGGAGAGCCTCGAGCCAATGCAAGAGACAGCAGCACTGGCACCAACGCAGGATCTACCAACATCAGCGTCAACACCAGGACCAGCAGCAGGAGCAGCAGCAGCAGCAGCAGCAGCAGCAGCAGCAGCAGCAGCAGCAGCAGCAGCAGCAGCAGCAGCAGCAGCAGCAGCAGCAGCAGCAGCAGCAGCAGCAGCAGCAGCAGCAGCAGCAGCAGCAGCAGCAGCAGCAGCAGGAGCAGCAGCAGCAGCAGCAGCAGCAGCAGCAGCAGCAGCAGCAGCAGCAGCAGCAGCAGCAGCAGCAGCAGCAGCAGCAGCAGCAGCAGCAGCAGCAGCAGCAGCAGCAGCAGCAGCAGCAGCAGCAGTAGCAGCAGCAGCAGCAGGAGCAGCAGCAGCAGGACCAGCAGCAGCAGGAGCAGCAGCAGCAGGAGCAGCAGCAGCAGGAGCAGCAGCAGCAGGACCAGCAGCAGCAGGAGCAGCAGCAGCAGCAGCAGTGTCTGTACTCGTGGTGGTCACTCAGCAACCGGAACTGGCCTGTCTGCCTCCTGTGCTGCACCTGCTAGAGCCTCTCAGCCAGATTATCCTTCACGGGTGAGTGTTTGAGCCATGTCTAACTCTGCATTGGAGTCTCTATCCTGCTGCTCCTTCCCCTCCTCCCTCCCCCCCACAACCACAGGCGCAATTTGTCTCTCGTCCAAGACGCCTGTCTGTGTGTGTGTGCGTGTGCTTGCTTGCCTCACTTCCTGTGTGCTTGCCTAAACCCGAAACCCTAAACCGTAAAAAACGGCCGTTTTATGGGACCAAACTGATGGCGAAATTCACCAGGATGAAGAGGACGAACCCCTCCTTGCATGTGTGCGTTTGTGGGCATGATTGAAAATGTATCCGACCTTGTTATTCCCTTTTATTCTTGGTGACAAGAGTTCTCAAAAAAAAAAAAAAACGGCCGTTTTTTGTGTGTTTATTTTTACCGTAAAAAACGGACCGTATTTTACGAAAGCCGTATTTTTAGCCTTGCATACACATTCTGCTCCTTCCCCTCCTCCCTCGCTCCCCACAACCACAGGCACACTTGTCTCTCGCCCAAGACGCCTGCCCGTGTGAGCTTGCTTGCCTCTCTTCCTGTGTGTGCATATATATTGGTACACACACATACACATTCTGCTCCTTCCCCTCCTCCCTCGTTCCCCACAACCTTCAGGCGGACAGTGACTCTCGTCCGAGACGCTTGCCTATGTGTGCTGGCGGTGGCGCGGGGATCAGAAGCAGGCATGCGGGCGTGCAGGGAGCAAGGCGTGCTTGGAGTGGCTGCCCGCTCTCTTACTTCCATCACAGGTATGAGGGTCACCAGTGTCACCAACAGTGTCTGCTTTCACTGGTGTAGGCTAGGCGTCGGTCTGTGTGTGCTGGTAATGGCATGGGGATCAGAAGCGGGCATGCGGGCGTGCAGGGAGCAAGGCGTGCTTGGGGTGGCTGCCCGCGCTCTTACTTCCATCACAGGTATGAGGGTCACCAGTGTCACCAACAGTGTCTGGTTTTACTGGTGTAGGCGTCTGTCTGTGTGTGCTGGTTGTGGCGCGGGGATCAGAAGCGGGCATGCGGGCGTGCAGGGAGCAAGGCGTGCTCGGGGTGGCCGCTCGCTCTCTTGCTGCCATGACAGGTATGAGGGTCACCAGTGTCACCAACAGTGTCTGGTTTTACCGGTGTAGGCGTCTGTCTGTGTGTGCTGGCTGTGGCGCGGGGATCAGAAGCGGGCATGCGGGCGTGCAGGGAGCAAGGTCTCCTTGGGTTGCCGCCCGCTCTCTTGCTGCCACCACAGGTAGGTTTCAGTGCCGCCACCTGTGCTCCCACCAGTGTCTGGTTCTATCGCTCTAGGCTCAGCCACAAGACCAGGCACAATGCAAGACGCGTGTCTGTGTGTGCTGGCTGTGGCGCGGGGATCAGAGGCGGGCATGCTGTGTGTGTTCACCCTTTTCCCCTTCACACATGTTTCATTCATACACCCCTTGTTGTATGAGATTTTTCAATCCGATTCCCTCTTCCCCTCCTCCCTCCCCCTCTTCCCGCGCCCCTGCCTTTCCCCACCCTCCTGTTTTTAACGCCTCTTAACTCTCCCTTTTCCTTCCCTACCCACAGACCCTTCCTGTTCATCTCTTGCAATGCTAAGCGTTCTGGTCAATGCTGCATCTCCCCTCGATATCTCCCATCACGGAGACTCGCTTGCTGCTGCTGTGAGTTCCCCGCCGTCTCCCATCCCAGTTCCCTTTTCCTCCTTCCCCCGTCACCATTTCTTATCTCAAATTCACCAAACTGATCCTATCATGCTCCTTATGCAAGCGAGTGCTAAGCTTCCGTGTTGCCTCTGCCCCTTCTCTCAATTGTTCATTCATTACCATCTGCTTCTCAGGTGCCAGCCCTAGCAAGGCAGCTCGCATCAAGCGAGTTTTGAGACGTCTCAATATTTCATTACCATCTGCTTCTCAGGTGCCAGGCCTAGCAAGGCAGCTCGCATCAAGCGAGTTTTGAGACGTCTCAATATTTCATTACCATCTGCTTCTCAGGTGCCAGGTCTAGCAAGGCAGCTCGCATCAAGCGAGTTTTGAGACGTCTCAATATTTCATTACCATCTGCTTCTCAGGTGCCAGCCCTAGCAAGGCAGCTCGCATCAAGCGAGTTTTGAGACGTCTCAATATTTCATTACCATCTGCTTCTCAGGTGCCAGCCCTAGCAAGGCAGCTCGCATCAAGCGAGTTTTGAGACATCTCAATATTTCATTACCATCTGCTTCTCAGGTGCCAGGCCTAGCAAGGCAGCTCGCATCAAGCGAGTTTTGAGACGTCTCAATATTTCATTACCATCTGCTTCTCAGGTGCCAGCCCTAGCAAGGCAGCTCGCATCAAGCGAGTTTTGAGACGTCTCAATATTTCATTACCATCTGCTTCTCAGGTGCCAGCCCTAGCAAGGCAGCTCGCATCAAGCGAGTTTTGAGACATCTCAATATTTCATTACCATCTGCTTCTCAGGTGCCAGCCCTAGCAAGGCAGCTCGCATCAAGCGAGTTTTGAGACGTCTCAATATTTCATTACCATCTGCTTCTCAGGTGCCAGCCCTAGCAAGACAGCTCGCATCAAGCGAAGACAGTGCCAGCAGGCACATTATAGTCACCCTTCTGCTCATTCTTGTCTTGATTACCACCACTCTGTTCTGTTACCCTCTGGTTACCCTACAGGTGCCAGCCCTAGCAAGGCAGCTAGCATCAAGCCAAGACAGCAGCAGCAAGCACAAGATAGTCACCCTGCTGCTCGCCCTGCTCTCGACAACTCAACAACAACAACAACAGAACCTGCGCCCTTCATTGCCTAGCGCTACTCAAAGTGGTTCGCCCTTGTGTGTGAGGGCACTTGAGCCGTGAGATCCCAAGGGAGAAGTGGTTTCCATGCAAGCCCAGGGCGCGAGGGTGCAGTGTTCTGCAATAGTAGCTTTCGGAGAAGCTTCAGGGTTTCGGGTTTAGTCCCGGTGTCGAATGACATGAACGCCGGGACGAGTGACGGCTCGGTGACTGCGTGTGGGAGCACGGGGCCAAGATGCATAAAAAAAACAGCTGAGCCGGAAGTGAACCAGCGCTACAGGTTCATGTGTTGCACATTGTAACAAGGTGACTATTGAGTCTACTCAAAAATATTGTTGTGCTCATTTTGCCAGATCTCAACCCCTACTGCAAGTGCCAGAGCCAGTTCGACCCTGCTGCAGCCTGCACTGCACCTCATGCCCTCTGTTTATCCCTCCTCCCCTCCCATGTCTACCCCCTTTCCCTGTCTACCCGCGTTCCCCTCCTCTTTGCAGTGGCTGCACTGGCTGCTCTAACGACTGCAACGGCCGTGGCACTTGTGCTTTAGACTCGGATTTCAACCCCTACTGCAAGTGCCAGAACCAGTTCGACCCTGCCAAAGCCTGCACTGTGTGCAAGCAGGGGTACACGATCGAGTCCAAGTGCGTTGCCTGCGCCCCCTGGTTCTTCTCAGGGCAGAAGGGGCGCTGCACCGTGTGTGGCACCGTGGACAAGGTGGGTGGTAGTGTGGATAAGGTGGGTGGCAGGGACTATAAAGCATGTGAGAGTAAGGGACTCAAGGAGCACTGCCAGCACTGCCTGCACTGCCAGCACTGCCAGCACTGCCAGCACTGCCAGCACTGCCAGCACTGCCTGCACTGCCTGCACTGCCTGCACTGCCTGCACTGCCTGCACTGCCTGCACTGCCTGCACTGCCTGCACTGCCTGCACTGCCTGCACTGCCTGCACTGCCTCCACTGCCTGCACTGCCTGCACTGCCTGCACTGCCTGCACTGCCTCCACTGCCTGCACTGCTTGCCAAAGCCTGCACGGTGTGCAAGATGGGGTACACGATGGAGTCCAAGTGCTCTGCCTGTGCCCCGGAGTCCTTCTCAGGGCAGAAGGGGCGCTGCAGCGTGTGTGGCAGCGTGGACAAGGTACGTGGCTGTGACTGTAAAGCATGTGAGAGGGAGGGCCCAGAACCTCATCCCATCCCCCCCCTCCTTAACCCTCCCCTTTTCCCTTCCCCGTCCACTGCCTCTCTTCCTTCGCACGAGCAGATCCAAGATCTTACAGGCGAGCTCTCGAACCTCAACAACGCCACACAAGCTGCTTCCTCCAAGCGGTGCCAGCAGATGTGCCAAAGAGCCCAGTCCCAGACGAAGCTGTACAAGAACTACTGCAATCTGTGGGCCTTTGTGGAGAACAGGTGAGAGATCCAGATTTACGGTGTTGTAGTCTGGCACCTCTTCTCCAAGGAAGAGCCAGCAGACGTGCCAGAGGGTCCAGACACAGACGAAGCAGTACAAGAACTACTGCAACCTGTGGGCTTTCGTTGAGAACAGGTGAGGGTTGAGGCGCTTGAAAAGGTGAGTTTTGAGGCGATTTATATGCCAGCAGACGTGTCAGCGGGTCAGGCACAGACGAAGCAGTACAAGAACTACTGCAACCTGTGGGCCTTTGTTGAGAACAGGTAAGAGCCAGGTTCTGAGTCGACTTGAATGTAAGCAGATGTGTCAGAGGGCGCAGTCACAGACGAAGCTGTACAATAACTACTGCAATCTGTGGGCCTTCGTTGAGAACAGGTGAGCGCCAGATCTGGATTCCCTGTTGTTGCAGATGTTTTTTAGGTTACGAAAAAATCACCTGCAACAAAGCGGTGCCAGTAGATGTGCCAGAGGGCCCGGGCACAGCCGAAGCAGTACAAGAATTACTGCAACCTGTGCGCTTTCGTGGAACATTCTTGCACCTTGCGATTGCATGTGCTGTTTACAAGTTTTCACCCTGCAGAGAGTTTTGTAGCTCCTAAAAGAACCATTCCTCCTTGCACCTTTCTATTGTTTGTGCAGTTACAAGGTTCCATCCTGCCGAGGCAGCTGCCTTCTTTTCGATGACGAGTCGGAGTGTGGAGTGCGCAACGTGACGCGAGATGCGAAGAGGAACGTTGTTTACCAATTTATGGAGCCCAGTTTCCTGGCCTGCGACTAGAAGGCATCAAATTGCCCTTGCCCATACCCTTCTAAGGGGCATTGATAATCCTCTAATTTCTCTACCGGCCCTCTGTTCCACGCATTGTGATGCTATATAATGACAGCACCATAAGAAACCTAAGTTTCTTATAGTGCTTCCCCTGTGAAAACCTTGAAGTTCAGAGTTTGTTTGCAAATGTGTAGATAGAATAGTACTACATAAAGTTTGTTTGATGCAAGCCTGGCCAGAGCTTAAAAGAATTATGTTCCATTTGCTGAAATTGCAAGTTGATCTACATGTAGAAACCTATAACCACCCAATGGTAGATGTGAGTCATCACCAAATGTCCAAGCCTGAAAGCCAAGCTTTGCGAGCCTGTTCCCGAGATGCAAGGCTGGCAGAGCAACAGACGGGATGCAGCGAGCCCACAGTCATCAACAACTTATTTCGCGCATGGATGGGTAACGCTCACGAAAACAGTTGAGTTCACATGTACAGCACCTTGGAGTGTCGTCTTCGAGTCATATTACGTGTAACAAGCGGCTCGTTAGAACCAAGGCTTTTCGCCAGAGAACCACTGCCCTGCTAAACTCCCTTCTCTGTGATGTCTGTCACCCACCACCGCCGACGCCGCAGACGGATTTGTGTGTGGTTGGATTGGGTCGAGACTCGAGATAAAATGAGTGGCCATCCCCGTCTTCTGCTGCACTGATGTTTCAAGGACACTGGCGTAATTGTCCATTGGTCATCCAGTGCGGTTCGGTAATTTTCCAGGCGTTACGAAACGGTTATTGTTTATCACCGTTCTAGACCGCAACACACCTCCTCATATATTCAGTCAATTTCCCTGCTCGTTTTCACTCCCTTGTCACTCACATTCTTGCTCCTAACTTACACTTCAGCAGTTCCCTCTGCTATACTAACTTCAGCTGCGAAGGTCGTTCTGTCATTTGCGTCCTAGATTTTCAACGGTTTTACGTACGTGACTGCTGACGTTAGGGAAAATTGTCCAGCAGATTGGAGTATTTTAACGGTTTAGCACGTGATCAACTAGGGTGCTAGCGGGATAGAGTTTCTTATCAGCGGTCTCGCATACTGTTGTCTTTTTCAGCTATTATTTCTGTCTTCTTTGTTTATCTTTACGCAGGAAGGCGTCTGCTGCAGGCAATGACATAATTTGGCTCTGGCTGATCCGAGTACTAATTAATCAGTCCTTACAACTTAGTGGGCATTAGTAGTCAATATCGGCCAAAACTCGCGCCTCTTTTTATCGTTTCGTCGTTTTCTCCTGCCACTTGCTTGAAGTCCGCCACTCAATTGGATGCGAGCTCTGAAAATGGCGGAACTTAAGACTCAAGAGTTCGAAGCAGATGGAGTCGACACCATAGTTACAGCAGACGACCGACCTTCACCGCGCAGCAAACCTGCTTATGGCACGTTCCTGCGAGGGATGTGGCCGTTCAGTCACAGCGCCAAGTATCACTCCCACAATAGTCACACTCCCAACGGTCACACTTTCGCGCACACTCGTTCTCTGAAAGAGACGATCAAGCACCACCTTTCTCCCGACCTCAAACCATCCGAACCTACAACCGGACCTTCGACCGAACCTCTAGCCGAACCAGGCACGCCGGAGCTACAGCAAGCGAGCCGTTCCCCTGGGAAGCGGGGTTTTCTCGGCCTGCTGCAATCCCGATCGCGCCGAGACCGATCCTCGTCCCATTCCTCGTCCCTAGGTTCGGAATCGAGCAGTGGGACTGGAGGGAAGTCTGTATCTGGACCGTCGACAGCCAGACGCAAAAGTGGGTCAAGATCGTCCTTTGGAAAAGAGTCAGGAAATGAGAAGGAAATTCAGGCGGGGGCTGGCAATGTCAGTAAGGCTGTTGACAGTGGCGCTTCTGCTGCGGCTGTCCCGTCGCCGGACATGTCGCACGCGTCGCCATCCCAGTCGCACACGTCGCCGTCACAGTCACACACGTCGCCGTCGCCGTCGCATGTCACACCCGCCAGACGTTCGCAGGCCCTTCGCGAATGGAGGTGGACGAAGGGCCAATGCATCAAGGGCCCGCGGTTTCACAAGCGGATAACACGGAAGACGAAGTGACTAGTGCGAATTCTGTTAGCCATCTTGTCGGAGACAGAGAAAATTCATCAGTTGTGGAGGAGGAGAAAGAGGCTTCGGCGTTTGCCGCAGGTTTTGCAGCTGAAGCTGCTGCTGCTGTTGCGGCAGTGCCTGCTCCTCCTGCTGTGCCCCTTGCTGCTGCTGCTGCTCCCGCGCCTGCTTCTCCTGCTGCTCCTCTTGCTGCTGTTCCTCCTGCTGTTCGTCTTGCCGCTGCTCCTCCTCTTGCTGTTCCTCCTGCTGCTGTTGTTCCCCCTGCCGCTGCTCCTCTTGCCGAGGCGAAGGCCGTGGAGCATGGTATGCTAGAACTGACCATGAATGAAGGGCCGGCTCACAGCAGCACAGAGGCACCACACGGCAGTGATGGCTTAGATGACGCTGGTAGGTCGTCACCGCTTGCGCCTAGTGTTACTGAGGCTGCCGCGAGTTATTGCTGCTGATCCTGCTCCTCCTGCTGCTTCTGCTCCTGCTGCTGTTGCGTCTGGTGCCGCCGCCGCTGCCGTCGCCCCTGCTGTTGCTGCTTCTGCCGTTGTTGGCACCGCTGCTGCTCCTGTGGCTGCACCTTCCTTTGATGCAGAGATTCCCGTTGCATCTGTGCCTTCGTCTGCTGCAGCTTCGGCAGCAGCTGCTGCTGCTTCGCCTGCTGTTGCTGCTTCTGCCGTTGTTGGCACCGCTGCTGCTCCTGTGGCTGCACCTTCCTTTGATGCAGAGATTCCCGTTGGATGTGCGCCTTCGTCTACTGCTTCTGCAGCAGCTGCTGCTGCTTCGCCTGCTGCTGCTGCTTCAGCCGCTTCTGCTGTGGGAACATCTTCCCCTAATGCACTACTCCACGATGTCCACGATGCATCTGTGCATTCTCCTGCTGCCACGTGGGCGGACGAGGGGGAGAAAAAGGAGGTAGGGTTGGAAGTAGAGGAGGAGGAGGAGGGAAGGAAGGATGGGGAGGAGAAGGAGGAGCAGGAGGAAGGGGGGAGGAAGGTTGAGGAGGAGGGTGAGAGAGAGGAGGAGATGGAGGGACCGATGACGACAGAGATGGTTGAGGAGGAGAGAAAGAGGGAGGAGGAGATTGAGGTGATTGAGGAGGAGACGAGGGGGAAGGAGGAGGGGGAAGAGGAGGGCGGAGGGCTTGTTACTGTGAGCATGGATGTTTCAGTTGGTGGGGAAGATGGAGCAGGGGATGAAGGGATGATGGAAGAGGAAAGTGCGACAGAGCAAGGGGGTGCAACCTCTGCTGCCGCTGCTTCTGCTGATGCCGCTGCTCCCTCTGTTGCCACTGCTGATGCAGCAGCTGCTGCTCTTGATGCCCCTGCACTCCCCTCTCACGAACCTTCCACGGCTCTTGATGCCCCTGCACTCCCATCACACGAACCTTCCACGTCTCTTGATGCCCCTGCACTCCCATCACACGAACCTTCCACATCTCTGGACGCATGTCTGCACCTGCTGATGAGCATAGACGAAGCTGACATGGCGGCAGGCCTGGTAGCTGCAGCAGGCCACGTGGCAGGTGGGGACGCTGACGTGGTGCACGAGGTGTTTGACGCCCTGCCCTTCCACTTCGTCCGATCGCTGCTGGAAGAATCAGTCGGGGAGAGCCTCGAGCCAATGCAAGAGACAGCAGCACTGGCACCAACGCAGGATCTACCAACATCAGCGTCAACACCAGGACCAGCAGCAGGAGCAGCAGCAGCAGCAGCAGCAGCAGCAGCAGCAGCAGCAGCAGCAGCAGCAGCAGCAGCAGCAGCAGCAGCAGCAGCAGCAGCAGCAGCAGCAGCAGCAGCAGCAGCAGCAGCAGCAGCAGCAGCAGCAGCAGCAGCAGCAGCAGCAGCAGCAGCAGCAGCAGCAGCAGCAGCAGCAGCAGCAGCAGCAGCAGCAGCAGCAGCAGCAGCAGCAGCAGCAGCAGCAGCAGCAGCAGCAGCAGCAGCAGCAGCAGCAGCAGTAGCAGCAGCAGCAGCAGGAGCAGCAGCAGCAGGACCAGCAGCAGCAGGAGCAGCAGCAGCAGGAGCAGCAGCAGCAGGAGCAGCAGCAGCAGGACCAGCAGCAGCAGGAGCAGCAGCAGCAGCAGCAGTGTCTGTACTCGTGGTGGTCACTCAGCAACCGGAACTGGCCTGTCTGCCTCCTGTGCTGCACCTGCTAGAGCCTCTCAGCCAGATTATCCTTCACGGGTGAGTGTTTGAGCCATGTCTAACTCTGCATTGGAGTCTCTATCCTGCTGCTCCTTCCCCTCCTCCCTCCCCCCCACAACCACAGGCGCAATTTGTCTCTCGTCCAAGACGCCTGTCTGTGTGTGTGTGCGTGTGCTTGCTTGCCTCACTTCCTGTGTGCTTGCCTAAACCCGAAACCCTAAACCGTAAAAAACGGCCGTTTTATGGGACCAAACTGATGGCGAAATTCACCAGGATGAAGAGGACGAACCCCTCCTTGCATGTGTGCGTTTGTGGGCATGATTGAAAATGTATCCGACCTTGTTATTCCCTTTTATTCTTGGTGACAAGAGTTCTCAAAAAAAAAAAAAACGGCCGTTTTTTGTGTGTTTATTTTTACCGTAAAAAACGGACCGTATTTTACGAAAGCCGTATTTTTAGCCTTGCATACACATTCTGCTCCTTCCCCTCCTCCCTCGCTCCCCACAACCACAGGCACACTTGTCTCTCGCCCAAGACGCCTGCCCGTGTGAGCTTGCTTGCCTCTCTTCCTGTGTGTGCATATATATTGGTACACACACATACACATTCTGCTCCTTCCCCTCCTCCCTCGTTCCCCACAACCTTCAGGCGGACAGTGACTCTCGTCCGAGACGCTTGCCTATGTGTGCTGGCGGTGGCGCGGGGATCAGAAGCAGGCATGCGGGCGTGCAGGGAGCAAGGCGTGCTTGGAGTGGCTGCCCGCTCTCTTACTTCCATCACAGGTATGAGGGTCACCAGTGTCACCAACAGTGTCTGCTTTCACTGGTGTAGGCTAGGCGTCGGTCTGTGTGTGCTGGTAATGGCATGGGGATCAGAAGCGGGCATGCGGGCGTGCAGGGAGCAAGGCGTGCTTGGGGTGGCTGCCCGCGCTCTTACTTCCATCACAGGTATGAGGGTCACCAGTGTCACCAACAGTGTCTGGTTTTACTGGTGTAGGCGTCTGTCTGTGTGTGCTGGTTGTGGCGCGGGGATCAGAAGCGGGCATGCGGGCGTGCAGGGAGCAAGGCGTGCTCGGGGTGGCCGCTCGCTCTCTTGCTGCCATGACAGGTATGAGGGTCACCAGTGTCACCAACAGTGTCTGGTTTTACCGGTGTAGGCGTCTGTCTGTGTGTGCTGGCTGTGGCGCGGGGATCAGAAGCGGGCATGCGGGCGTGCAGGGAGCAAGGTCTCCTTGGGTTGCCGCCCGCTCTCTTGCTGCCACCACAGGTAGGTTTCAGTGCCGCCACCTGTGCTCCCACCAGTGTCTGGTTCTATCGCTCTAGGCTCAGCCACAAGACCAGGCACAATGCAAGACGCGTGTCTGTGTGTGCTGGCTGTGGCGCGGGGATCAGAGGCGGGCATGCTGTGTGTGTTCACCCTTTTCCCCTTCACACATGTTTCATTCATACACCCCTTGTTGTATGAGATTTTTCAATCCGATTCCCTCTTCCCCTCCTCCCTCCCCCTCTTCCCGCGCCCCTGCCTTTCCCCACCCTCCTGTTTTTAACGCCTCTTAACTCTCCCTTTTCCTTCCCTACCCACAGACCCTTCCTGTTCATCTCTTGCAATGCTAAGCGTTCTGGTCAATGCTGCATCTCCCCTCGATATCTCCCATCACGGAGACTCGCTTGCTGCTGCTGTGAGTTCCCCGCCGTCTCCCATCCCAGTTCCCTTTTCCTCCTTCCCCCGTCACCATTTCTTATCTCAAATTCACCAAACTGATCCTATCATGCTCCTTATGCAAGCGAGTGCTAAGCTTCCGTGTTGCCTCTGCCCCTTCTCTCAATTGTTCATTCATTACCATCTGCTTCTCAGGTGCCAGCCCTAGCAAGGCAGCTCGCATCAAGCGAGTTTTGAGACGTCTCAATATTTCATTACCATCTGCTTCTCAGGTGCCAGGCCTAGCAAGGCAGCTCGCATCAAGCGAGTTTTGAGACGTCTCAATATTTCATTACCATCTGCTTCTCAGGTGCCAGGTCTAGCAAGGCAGCTCGCATCAAGCGAGTTTTGAGACGTCTCAATATTTCATTACCATCTGCTTCTCAGGTGCCAGCCCTAGCAAGGCAGCTCGCATCAAGCGAGTTTTGAGACGTCTCAATATTTCATTACCATCTGCTTCTCAGGTGCCAGCCCTAGCAAGGCAGCTCGCATCAAGCGAGTTTTGAGACATCTCAATATTTCATTACCATCTGCTTCTCAGGTGCCAGGCCTAGCAAGGCAGCTCGCATCAAGCGAGTTTTGAGACGTCTCAATATTTCATTACCATCTGCTTCTCAGGTGCCAGCCCTAGCAAGGCAGCTCGCATCAAGCGAGTTTTGAGACGTCTCAATATTTCATTACCATCTGCTTCTCAGGTGCCAGCCCTAGCAAGGCAGCTCGCATCAAGCGAGTTTTGAGACATCTCAATATTTCATTACCATCTGCTTCTCAGGTGCCAGCCCTAGCAAGGCAGCTCGCATCAAGCGAGTTTTGAGACGTCTCAATATTTCATTACCATCTGCTTCTCAGGTGCCAGCCCTAGCAAGACAGCTCGCATCAAGCGAAGACAGTGCCAGCAGGCACATTATAGTCACCCTTCTGCTCATTCTTGTCTTGATTACCACCACTCTGTTCTGTTACCCTCTGGTTACCCTACAGGTGCCAGCCCTAGCAAGGCAGCTAGCATCAAGCCAAGACAGCAGCAGCAAGCACAAGATAGTCACCCTGCTGCTCGCCCTGCTCTCGACAACTCAACAACAACAACAACAGAACCTGCGCCCTTCATTGCCTAGCGCTACTCAAAGTGGTTCGCCCTTGTGTGTGAGGGCACTTGAGCCGTGAGATCCCAAGGGAGAAGTGGTTTCCATGCAAGCCCAGGGCGCGAGGGTGCAGTGTTCTGCAATAGTAGCTTTCGGAGAAGCTTCAGGGTTTCGGGTTTAGTCCCGGTGTCGAATGACATGAACGCCGGGACGAGTGACGGCTCGGTGACTGCGTGTGGGAGCACGGGGCCAAGATGCATAAAAAAAACAGCTGAGCCGGAAGTGAACCAGCGCTACAGGTTCATGTGTTGCACATTGTAACAAGGTGACTATTGAGTCTACTCAAAAATATTGTTGTGCTCATTTTGCCAGATCTCAACCCCTACTGCAAGTGCCAGAGCCAGTTCGACCCTGCTGCAGCCTGCACTGCACCTCATGCCCTCTGTTTATCCCTCCTCCCCTCCCATGTCTACCCCCTTTCCCTGTCTACCCGCGTTCCCCTCCTCTTTGCAGTGGCTGCACTGGCTGCTCTAACGACTGCAACGGCCGTGGCACTTGTGCTTTAGACTCGGATTTCAACCCCTACTGCAAGTGCCAGAACCAGTTCGACCCTGCCAAAGCCTGCACTGTGTGCAAGCAGGGGTACACGATCGAGTCCAAGTGCGTTGCCTGCGCCCCCTGGTTCTTCTCAGGGCAGAAGGGGCGCTGCACCGTGTGTGGCACCGTGGACAAGGTGGGTGGTAGTGTGGATAAGGTGGGTGGCAGGGACTATAAAGCATGTGAGAGTAAGGGACTCAAGGAGCACTGCCAGCACTGCCTGCACTGCCAGCACTGCCAGCACTGCCAGCACTGCCAGCACTGCCAGCACTGCCTGCACTGCCTGCACTGCCTGCACTGCCTGCACTGCCTGCACTGCCTGCACTGCCTGCACTGCCTGCACTGCCTGCACTGCCTGCACTGCCTCCACTGCCTGCACTGCCTGCACTGCCTGCACTGCCTGCACTGCCTCCACTGCCTGCACTGCTTGCCAAAGCCTGCACGGTGTGCAAGATGGGGTACACGATGGAGTCCAAGTGCTCTGCCTGTGCCCCGGAGTCCTTCTCAGGGCAGAAGGGGCGCTGCAGCGTGTGTGGCAGCGTGGACAAGGTACGTGGCTGTGACTGTAAAGCATGTGAGAGGGAGGGCCCAGAACCTCATCCCATCCCCCCCCTCCTTAACCCTCCCCTTTTCCCTTCCCCGTCCACTGCCTCTCTTCCTTCGCACGAGCAGATCCAAGATCTTACAGGCGAGCTCTCGAACCTCAACAACGCCACACAAGCTGCTTCCTCCAAGCGGTGCCAGCAGATGTGCCAAAGAGCCCAGTCCCAGACGAAGCTGTACAAGAACTACTGCAATCTGTGGGCCTTTGTGGAGAACAGGTGAGAGATCCAGATTTACGGTGTTGTAGTCTGGCACCTCTTCTCCAAGGAAGAGCCAGCAGACGTGCCAGAGGGTCCAGACACAGACGAAGCAGTACAAGAACTACTGCAACCTGTGGGCTTTCGTTGAGAACAGGTGAGGGTTGAGGCGCTTGAAAAGGTGAGTTTTGAGGCGATTTATATGCCAGCAGACGTGTCAGCGGGTCAGGCACAGACGAAGCAGTACAAGAACTACTGCAACCTGTGGGCCTTTGTTGAGAACAGGTAAGAGCCAGGTTCTGAGTCGACTTGAATGTAAGCAGATGTGTCAGAGGGCGCAGTCACAGACGAAGCTGTACAATAACTACTGCAATCTGTGGGCCTTCGTTGAGAACAGGTGAGCGCCAGATCTGGATTCCCTGTTGTTGCAGATGTTTTTTAGGTTACGAAAAAATCACCTGCAACAAAGCGGTGCCAGTAGATGTGCCAGAGGGCCCGGGCACAGCCGAAGCAGTACAAGAATTACTGCAACCTGTGCGCTTTCGTGGAACATTCTTGCACCTTGCGATTGCATGTGCTGTTTACAAGTTTTCACCCTGCAGAGAGTTTTGTAGCTCCTAAAAGAACCATTCCTCCTTGCACCTTTCTATTGTTTGTGCAGTTACAAGGTTCCATCCTGCCGAGGCAGCTGCCTTCTTTTCGATGACGAGTCGGAGTGTGGAGTGCGCAACGTGACGCGAGATGCGAAGAGGAACGTTGTTTACCAATTTATGGAGCCCAGTTTCCTGGCCTGCGACTAGAAGGCATCAAATTGCCCTTGCCCATACCCTTCTAAGGGGCATTGATAATCCTCTAATTTCTCTACCGGCCCTCTGTTCCACGCATTGTGATGCTATATAATGACAGCACCATAAGAAACCTAAGTTTCTTATAGTGCTTCCCCTGTGAAAACCTTGAAGTTCAGAGTTTGTTTGCAAATGTGTAGATAGAATAGTACTACATAAAGTAAGTTTGATGCAAGCCTGGCCAGAGCTTAAAAGAATTATGTTCCATTTGCTGAAATTGCAAGTTGATCTACATGTAGAAACCTATAACCACCCAATGGTAGATGTGAGTCATCACCAAATGTCCAAGCCTGAAAGCCAAGCTTTGCGAGCCTGTTCCCGAGATGCAAGGCTGGCAGAGCAACAGACGGGATGCAGCGAGCCCACAGTCATCAACAACTTATTTCGCGCATGGATGGGTAACGCTCACGAAAACAGTTGAGTTCACATGTACAGCACCTTGGAGTGTCGTCTTCGAGTCATATTACGTGTAACAAGCGGCTCGTTAGAACCAAGGCTTTTCGCCAGAGAACCACTGCCCTGCTAAACTCCCTTCTCTGTGATGTCTGTCACCCACCACCGCCGACGCCGCAGACGGATTTGTGTGTGGTTGGATTGGGTCGAGACTCGAGATAAAATGAGTGGCCATCCCCGTCTTCTGCTGCACTGATGTTTCAAGGACACTGGCGTAATTGTCCATTGGTCATCCAGTGCGGTTCGGTAATTTTCCAGGCGTTACGAAACGGTTATTGTTTATCACCGTTCTAGACCGCAACACACCTCCTCATATATTCAGTCAATTTCCCTGCTCGTTTTCACTCCCTTGTCACTCACATTCTTGCTCCTAACTTACACTTCAGCAGTTCCCTCTGCTATACTAACTTCAGCTGCGAAGGTCGTTCTGTCATTTGCGTCCTAGATTTTCAACGGTTTTACGTACGTGACTGCTGACGTTAGGGAAAATTGTCCAGCAGATTGGAGTATTTTAACGGTTTAGCACGTGATCAACTAGGGTGCTAGCGGGATAGAGTTTCTTATCAGCGGTCTCGCATACTGTTGTCTTTTTCAGCTATTATTTCTGTCTTCTTTGTTTATCTTTACGCAGGAAGGCGTCTGCTGCAGGCAATGACATAATTTGGCTCTGGCTGATCCGAGTACTAATTAATCAGTCCTTACAACTTAGTGGGCATTAGTAGTCAATATCGGCCAAAACTCGCGCCTCTTTTTATCGTTTCGTCGTTTTCTCCTGCCACTTGCTTGAAGTCCGCCACTCAATTGGATGCGAGCTCTGAAAATGGCGGAACTTAAGACTCAAGAGTTCGAAGCAGATGGAGTCGACACCATAGTTACAGCAGACGACCGACCTTCACCGCGCAGCAAACCTGCTTATGGCACGTTCCTGCGAGGGATGTGGCCGTTCAGTCACAGCGCCAAGTATCACTCCCACAATAGTCACACTCCCAACGGTCACACTTTCGCGCACACTCGTTCTCTGAAAGAGACGATCAAGCACCACCTTTCTCCCGACCTCAAACCATCCGAACCTACAACCGGACCTTCGACCGAACCTCTAGCCGAACCAGGCACGCCGGAGCTACAGCAAGCGAGCCGTTCCCCTGGGAAGCGGGGTTTTCTCGGCCTGCTGCAATCCCGATCGCGCCGAGACCGATCCTCGTCCCATTCCTCGTCCCTAGGTTCGGAATCGAGCAGTGGGACTGGAGGGAAGTCTGTATCTGGACCGTCGACAGCCAGACGCAAAAGTGGGTCAAGATCGTCCTTTGGAAAAGAGTCAGGAAATGAGAAGGAAATTCAGGCGGGGGCTGGCAATGTCAGTAAGGCTGTTGACAGTGGCGCTTCTGCTGCGGCTGTCCCGTCGCCGGACATGTCGCACGCGTCGCCATCCCAGTCGCACACGTCGCCGTCACAGTCACACACGTCGCCGTCGCCGTCGCATGTCACACCCGCCAGACGTTCGCAGGCCCTTCGCGAATGGAGGTGGACGAAGGGCCAATGCATCAAGGGCCCGCGGTTTCACAAGCGGATAACACGGAAGACGAAGTGACTAGTGCGAATTCTGTTAGCCATCTTGTCGGAGACAGAGAAAATTCATCAGTTGTGGAGGAGGAGAAAGAGGCTTCGGCGTTTGCCGCAGGTTTTGCAGCTGAAGCTGCTGCTGCTGTTGCGGCAGTGCCTGCTCCTCCTGCTGTGCCCCTTGCTGCTGCTGCTGCTCCCGCGCCTGCTTCTCCTGCTGCTCCTCTTGCTGCTGTTCCTCCTGCTGTTCGTCTTGCCGCTGCTCCTCCTCTTGCTGTTCCTCCTGCTGCTGTTGTTCCCCCTGCCGCTGCTCCTCTTGCCGAGGCGAAGGCCGTGGAGCATGGTATGCTAGAACTGACCATGAATGAAGGGCCGGCTCACAGCAGCACAGAGGCACCACACGGCAGTGATGGCTTAGATGACGCTGGTAGGTCGTCACCGCTTGCGCCTAGTGTTACTGAGGCTGCCGCGAGTTATTGCTGCTGATCCTGCTCCTCCTGCTGCTTCTGCTCCTGCTGCTGTTGCGTCTGGTGCCGCCGCCGCTGCCGTCGCCCCTGCTGTTGCTGCTTCTGCCGTTGTTGGCACCGCTGCTGCTCCTGTGGCTGCACCTTCCTTTGATGCAGAGATTCCCGTTGCATCTGTGCCTTCGTCTGCTGCAGCTTCGGCAGCAGCTGCTGCTGCTTCGCCTGCTGTTGCTGCTTCTGCCGTTGTTGGCACCGCTGCTGCTCCTGTGGCTGCACCTTCCTTTGATGCAGAGATTCCCGTTGGATGTGCGCCTTCGTCTACTGCTTCTGCAGCAGCTGCTGCTGCTTCGCCTGCTGCTGCTGCTTCAGCCGCTTCTGCTGTGGGAACATCTTCCCCTAATGCACTACTCCACGATGTCCACGATGCATCTGTGCATTCTCCTGCTGCCACGTGGGCGGACGAGGGGGAGAAAAAGGAGGTAGGGTTGGAAGTAGAGGAGGAGGAGGAGGGAAGGAAGGATGGGGAGGAGAAGGAGGAGCAGGAGGAAGGGGGGAGGAAGGTTGAGGAGGAGGGTGAGAGAGAGGAGGAGATGGAGGGACCGATGACGACAGAGATGGTTGAGGAGGAGAGAAAGAGGGAGGAGGAGATTGAGGTGATTGAGGAGGAGACGAGGGGGAAGGAGGAGGGGGAAGAGGAGGGCGGAGGGCTTGTTACTGTGAGCATGGATGTTTCAGTTGGTGGGGAAGATGGAGCAGGGGATGAAGGGATGATGGAAGAGGAAAGTGCGACAGAGCAAGGGGGTGCAACCTCTGCTGCCGCTGCTTCTGCTGATGCCGCTGCTCCCTCTGTTGCCACTGCTGATGCAGCAGCTGCTGCTCTTGATGCCCCTGCACTCCCCTCTCACGAACCTTCCACGGCTCTTGATGCCCCTGCACTCCCATCACACGAACCTTCCACGTCTCTTGATGCCCCTGCACTCCCATCACACGAACCTTCCACATCTCTGGACGCATGTCTGCACCTGCTGATGAGCATAGACGAAGCTGACATGGCGGCAGGCCTGGTAGCTGCAGCAGGCCACGTGGCAGGTGGGGACGCTGACGTGGTGCACGAGGTGTTTGACGCCCTGCCCTTCCACTTCGTCCGATCGCTGCTGGAAGAATCAGTCGGGGAGAGCCTCGAGCCAATGCAAGAGACAGCAGCACTGGCACCAACGCAGGATCTACCAACATCAGCGTCAACACCAGGACCAGCAGCAGGAGCAGCAGCAGCAGCAGCAGCAGCAGCAGCAGCAGCAGCAGCAGCAGCAGCAGCAGCAGCAGCAGCAGCAGCAGCAGCAGCAGCAGCAGCAGCAGCAGCAGCAGCAGCAGCAGCAGCAGCAGCAGCAGCAGCAGCAGCAGCAGGAGCAGCAGCAGCAGCAGCAGCAGCAGCAGCAGCAGCAGCAGCAGCAGCAGCAGCAGCAGCAGCAGCAGCAGCAGCAGCAGCAGCAGCAGCAGCAGTAGCAGCAGCAGCAGCAGGAGCAGCAGCAGCAGGACCAGCAGCAGCAGGAGCAGCAGCAGCAGGAGCAGCAGCAGCAGGAGCAGCAGCAGCAGGACCAGCAGCAGCAGGAGCAGCAGCAGCAGCAGCAGTGTCTGTACTCGTGGTGGTCACTCAGCAACCGGAACTGGCCTGTCTGCCTCCTGTGCTGCACCTGCTAGAGCCTCTCAGCCAGATTATCCTTCACGGGTGAGTGTTTGAGCCATGTCTAACTCTGCATTGGAGTCTCTATCCTGCTGCTCCTTCCCCTCCTCCCTCCCCCCCACAACCACAGGCGCAATTTGTCTCTCGTCCAAGACGCCTGTCTGTGTGTGTGTGCGTGTGCTTGCTTGCCTCACTTCCTGTGTGCTTGCCTAAACCCGAAACCCTAAACCGTAAAAAACGGCCGTTTTATGGGACCAAACTGATGGCGAAATTCACCAGGATGAAGAGGACGAACCCCTCCTTGCATGTGTGCGTTTGTGGGCATGATTGAAAATGTATCCGACCTTGTTATTCCCTTTTATTCTTGGTGACAAGAGTTCTCAAAAAAAAAAAAAAACGGCCGTTTTTTGTGTGTTTATTTTTACCGTAAAAAACGGACCGTATTTTACGAAAGCCGTATTTTTAGCCTTGCATACACATTCTGCTCCTTCCCCTCCTCCCTCGCTCCCCACAACCACAGGCACACTTGTCTCTCGCCCAAGACGCCTGCCCGTGTGAGCTTGCTTGCCTCTCTTCCTGTGTGTGCATATATATTGGTACACACACATACACATTCTGCTCCTTCCCCTCCTCCCTCGTTCCCCACAACCTTCAGGCGGACAGTGACTCTCGTCCGAGACGCTTGCCTATGTGTGCTGGCGGTGGCGCGGGGATCAGAAGCAGGCATGCGGGCGTGCAGGGAGCAAGGCGTGCTTGGAGTGGCTGCCCGCTCTCTTACTTCCATCACAGGTATGAGGGTCACCAGTGTCACCAACAGTGTCTGCTTTCACTGGTGTAGGCTAGGCGTCGGTCTGTGTGTGCTGGTAATGGCATGGGGATCAGAAGCGGGCATGCGGGCGTGCAGGGAGCAAGGCGTGCTTGGGGTGGCTGCCCGCGCTCTTACTTCCATCACAGGTATGAGGGTCACCAGTGTCACCAACAGTGTCTGGTTTTACTGGTGTAGGCGTCTGTCTGTGTGTGCTGGTTGTGGCGCGGGGATCAGAAGCGGGCATGCGGGCGTGCAGGGAGCAAGGCGTGCTCGGGGTGGCCGCTCGCTCTCTTGCTGCCATGACAGGTATGAGGGTCACCAGTGTCACCAACAGTGTCTGGTTTTACCGGTGTAGGCGTCTGTCTGTGTGTGCTGGCTGTGGCGCGGGGATCAGAAGCGGGCATGCGGGCGTGCAGGGAGCAAGGTCTCCTTGGGTTGCCGCCCGCTCTCTTGCTGCCACCACAGGTAGGTTTCAGTGCCGCCACCTGTGCTCCCACCAGTGTCTGGTTCTATCGCTCTAGGCTCAGCCACAAGACCAGGCACAATGCAAGACGCGTGTCTGTGTGTGCTGGCTGTGGCGCGGGGATCAGAGGCGGGCATGCTGTGTGTGTTCACCCTTTTCCCCTTCACACATGTTTCATTCATACACCCCTTGTTGTATGAGATTTTTCAATCCGATTCCCTCTTCCCCTCCTCCCTCCCCCTCTTCCCGCGCCCCTGCCTTTCCCCACCCTCCTGTTTTTAACGCCTCTTAACTCTCCCTTTTCCTTCCCTACCCACAGACCCTTCCTGTTCATCTCTTGCAATGCTAAGCGTTCTGGTCAATGCTGCATCTCCCCTCGATATCTCCCATCACGGAGACTCGCTTGCTGCTGCTGTGAGTTCCCCGCCGTCTCCCATCCCAGTTCCCTTTTCCTCCTTCCCCCGTCACCATTTCTTATCTCAAATTCACCAAACTGATCCTATCATGCTCCTTATGCAAGCGAGTGCTAAGCTTCCGTGTTGCCTCTGCCCCTTCTCTCAATTGTTCATTCATTACCATCTGCTTCTCAGGTGCCAGCCCTAGCAAGGCAGCTCGCATCAAGCGAGTTTTGAGACGTCTCAATATTTCATTACCATCTGCTTCTCAGGTGCCAGGCCTAGCAAGGCAGCTCGCATCAAGCGAGTTTTGAGACGTCTCAATATTTCATTACCATCTGCTTCTCAGGTGCCAGGTCTAGCAAGGCAGCTCGCATCAAGCGAGTTTTGAGACGTCTCAATATTTCATTACCATCTGCTTCTCAGGTGCCAGCCCTAGCAAGGCAGCTCGCATCAAGCGAGTTTTGAGACGTCTCAATATTTCATTACCATCTGCTTCTCAGGTGCCAGCCCTAGCAAGGCAGCTCGCATCAAGCGAGTTTTGAGACATCTCAATATTTCATTACCATCTGCTTCTCAGGTGCCAGGCCTAGCAAGGCAGCTCGCATCAAGCGAGTTTTGAGACGTCTCAATATTTCATTACCATCTGCTTCTCAGGTGCCAGCCCTAGCAAGGCAGCTCGCATCAAGCGAGTTTTGAGACGTCTCAATATTTCATTACCATCTGCTTCTCAGGTGCCAGCCCTAGCAAGGCAGCTCGCATCAAGCGAGTTTTGAGACATCTCAATATTTCATTACCATCTGCTTCTCAGGTGCCAGCCCTAGCAAGGCAGCTCGCATCAAGCGAGTTTTGAGACGTCTCAATATTTCATTACCATCTGCTTCTCAGGTGCCAGCCCTAGCAAGACAGCTCGCATCAAGCGAAGACAGTGCCAGCAGGCACATTATAGTCACCCTTCTGCTCATTCTTGTCTTGATTACCACCACTCTGTTCTGTTACCCTCTGGTTACCCTACAGGTGCCAGCCCTAGCAAGGCAGCTAGCATCAAGCCAAGACAGCAGCAGCAAGCACAAGATAGTCACCCTGCTGCTCGCCCTGCTCTCGACAACTCAACAACAACAACAACAGAACCTGCGCCCTTCATTGCCTAGCGCTACTCAAAGCACCGCTGAGCAGGAGCAGGGAATGGTTCAGCAGGGCTTGAAAAGCCTTGAGCCTTTAGTTGCGGGTCGAGCGTGGGCGGCAGACCTTCGGGGTGGCATTCAGAGCATTCTCTCTTCCACCACTGGTTAGTACTGCTTCCCTGCGCCCTGCATTGTCTAGCACTACTCAAAGCACTGCTGAGCCAGAGCGGTCGGAGGGGCTGGTTCAGCAGGGCTTGAAAAGCCTTGAGCCTTTAGTCGCGGGTCGAGTGTGGGCGGCAGACCTTCGCAGGGGCATCCACAGCATCCTCTCTTCCTCCACCGGTTAGTGCTGCTTCCCTGCGCCCTGCATTGCCTAGCGCTACTCAAAGCACCGCTGAGCCGGAGCAGTCGGAGGGGCTGGTTCAGCAGGGCGTGAAGAGCCTTGAGCCTGTTGTGGCTGGTCGAGCGTGGGCGGCAGACCTTCGAGGTGGCATCCACAGCATCCTCTCCTCCTCCACCGGTTAGTACTGCTTCCCTGCGCCCTGCATTGTCTAGCGCTAATCAAAGCACCGCTGAGCCAGAGCAGTCTGCGGGTCTGATTCAGCAAGGCGTGAAGAGCCTTGAGCCTGTTGTGACTGGTCGAGCGTGGGCAGCAGACCTTCGGGGGGGCATTCAGAGTATCCTACTGTCTTCCACTGGTTAGTAGTGCTGGCTGGCCTCTCTTCCCGCTTTCTTCCTTGAGATTCCGAAGGTAGTTGAGGCTCCTCAAGGTATATATATTATTTCTCAGGTATTCTCAGTGCGAGTTCAGTTGCACTGCCCTCGTTTTCCTTTGCTGTGGTTTTGGCTCATTGGGTTGATGCCACCATGAAAGACACCTGGCACCTGCCTTGCCCCCGCAGGCTCTGATCTGTCTGGAGGGTTGATTGATTCCATGCTTGCTGTCTGGTTGTCGGCAGCCAAAAACACGCTCTGTTCTCTTTCTCTCCCCCTCTTCCTCCCCTCCCGCTTCCCTCCCCGACGCTTCCCCTCTGCCAGTATCAAATGAGAGTCAGCAAGACGCTTTTCACCTGGCTCATGTGGTTACCAGCATTCTTGGAGATTCCTGGCTCGCTGGGCTTCCTGAAAACACACCTGAAGATACCTCTGACTCTGGCACTTCTGAAAATGCTCTGGATTACGGGTAAGACCTTTGAATCTGTTCTCTTGTACTTGAACCCAGTGAACTTGAGGCAAAATATATTTTCCCCTTATTTTTTCAGTTCGCGCACCCTTGATTTACAAGGTTCTCCCACCCACACGCACCCTTGCTCGCCATACAGTATGATCTTGCCTCTTAATCCCACCGCTGCACTTGCCTCTCATCTCATTTTTAGATCCAATCCTCTGTGTTCAACTCTGCCCCTTCCATACCCTCGTGCATCCCCCACGTATGCCAACCCACCTCTCACCCCCCTACCCAACCAGGTTTGTGCTGGCTCTCATGCGAACAGCCAAGCAGGAAATTCCTGGCCTTCTCGACACCCTAGCTCGTCTCACAATTGAAACTGACCCTGCCACTGACCCCAAGACTGACCCCGACACTGACCCCGACTCTGACCCCAAGACTGACCCCAGTTCTGACCCCATTGCTGAAACCAACACTGACCCTGATCAACCAGAAAGGAATGGGGAAGACTGTAATGGAGAAGAAGCAGAGATTGCAGAGAGTAACACTGAGAGTGGTAACCACATGCTCAATGGTAACCGCACTCTCAGTGCTGGTAACCACACGTCTGCAATGGATACAGAGGATAGCAGTGGCAGCAGAATCAGCACCATCAGCACGGGCAGCAGCACAGGGATAAGCAAGCTGCATGGCACTGGTAAAGCCGAGAGCAATCTGAGCAAGCAGAGCAATCTGAGCAAGCAGAGTAAGCTGAGTGGCAGCAGCTGGGCGGATCAGAGCAAGCTCAATGCGGATGCTGCTTGGGCTGCCCTAGGAGGAAATCTAGACCGATTCGGGCCTGGAAATGCTGGGGTGCTGGGTGGTATAGGGGCCAGTGCGGGAGGTGGAGGAGGAGGAGGGGGAGGAGGAGGGGGGTTGGGGAGGTCTGGAGGGTTGGCGAGAGGAGGGGGTGGTCTAGGCAGGTCTGGGGGAGGAGGGCTTATGAGGAGTGGAGGGCTAGGGGGAGGCGGAGGGGGAGGGTTAGGGGGAGGGGGAGGGGGAGGGGGAGGATTGGATAGAATGAACTCTATAGTGCCTACGAATGAGGATTGGAGATCTGTGGTGAAAGATATGAAGGATGCGATATGGGAGCCTCCTACTAACGCGGATGGGGGAGGAGGAGGTGCGGGGGGGTGGGGGAGGAGGTGGAGGAGGAGGAGAGGGAGGGGAGAGTGGTCTAGGGGAGCTCAGTATAGAAGAGTTTGCAGCTATGGAGGAGGATGCAGGAGGTGCGGAGGATGCCGGACCTCCGGATGAGGTTCGGCAGGCACAGCAGCGGCTGGATCGGTGCTTCAGACTGGTTGAAACGGCTGTGGGCTTACTAACGAAAGCTGGAGAAAAGGCTGAAGGGGGGGAGGCTGTATCAGCTGAAAGGCAGACCAACGGGGTGTCTCTAGGGCATCTCTCTGAAAGGCAGCTCTCTGTAAAGGAGCTATCTGTAAGGGAGCAATCTGAGAGGCTCAGGCTATGTACAGAGCTGGTAGATGGAGCATTGAAAGACGTGCTGGTGTTTCTGCAGCTGGCCCAGCAGCGGGAGTGGTGGTGTGGCGAGGCGGTGCTGGCGTGTGTGCGCGTGGCGGGGGCGTGCCTGGCTGCTGCGCCCTCGGCTCACCGCAAGAGGGCCGGGCGGCTGCTGGGGTTCGTGCTGGGAGTGACAGGCACGCAGGAGGAAAGGTGAGTGGGGGACAAGCAGGGGGTGGTGTGGGGAGGCGGTGCTGGCGTCAGGGGTGGTGTGGGCAGGAGGGGTGGTGTCCGAGTGGCAGGGGCGTGCCTGGCTGCTGCGCCCTCGGCTCATAGAAAGAGGGCTGGGCAGCTGCTGGGGTTCGTGCTGGGAGTCACAGGCGCGCAGGAGGAAAGGTGAGCACAGGACAGGGACAGGGGAGAAAGGCTTGGGGAAGAGCAGGGGGTGGTTGCATAGACTCGCTGCTGCACTGCTGCGACACTCGGCTCACAGGAAGAGGGCTGGTCGGCTGCTGGGGTTCGTGCTGGCAGTCACAGGCGCGCAGGAGGAAAGGTGAGCACAGGGCAGGGACAGGGGAGAAAGGCTTGGGGAAGAGCAGGGGGTGGTTGCATAGACTCGCTGCTGCACTGCTGCGACACTCGGCTCACAGGAAGAGGGCTGGTCGGCTGCTGGGGTTCGTGCTGGCATTCACAGGCGCGCAGGAGGAAAGGTGAGCACAGGGCAGGGACAGGGGAGAAAGGCTTGGGGAAGAGCAGGGGGTGGTTGCATAGACTCGCTGCTGCACTGCTGCGACACTCGGCTCACAGGAAGAGGGCTGGTCGGCTGCTGGGGTTCGTGCTGGCATTCACAGGCGCGCAGGAGGAAAGGTGAGCACAGGGCAGGGACAGGGGAGAAAGGCTTGGGGAAGAGCAGGGGGTGGTTGCATAGACTCGCTGCTGCACTGCTGCGCCCTCGGCTCACAGGAAGAGGGCTGGGCGGCTGCTGGGGTTCGTGCTGGCATTCACAGGCGCGCAGGAGGAAAGGTGAGTGGGGGACAAGCAGGGGGTGGTGTGGGGAGGCGGTGCTGGCGTCAGGGGTGGTGTGGGCAGGAGGGGTGGTGTCCGAGTGGCAGGGGCGTGTCTGGCTGCTGCGCCCTCGGCTCATAGAAAGAGGGCTGGGCAGCTGCTGGGGTTCGTGCTGGGAGTCACAGGCGCGCAGGAGGAAAGGTGAGCACAGGACAGGGACAGGGGAGAAAGGCTTGGGGAAGAGCAGGGGGTGGTTGCATAGACTCGCTGCTGCACTGCTGCGCCCTCGGCTCACAGGAAGAGGGCTGGGCGGCTGCTGGGGTTCGTGCTGGCAGTCACAGGTGCAGAGGAGGAAAGGTGAGTGGGGGACAAGCAGGGGGGTGGTTGCATAGACTCGCTGCTGCACTGCTGCGCCCTCGGCTCACAGGAAGAGGGCTGGGCGGCTGCTGGGGTTCGTGCTGAGAGTCACAGGCGCGCAGGAGGAAAGGTGAGTGGGGGACAAGCAGGGGGTGGTGTGGGGAGGCGGTGCTGGCGTCAGGGGTGGTGTGGGCAGGAGGGGTGGTGTCCGAGTGGCAGGGGCGTGCCTGGCTGCTGCGCCCTCGGCTCACCGCAAGAGGGCTGGGCGGCTGCTGGGGTTCCTGCTGGCAGTCACAGGCGCGCAGGAGGAAAGGTGAGCACAGGACAGGGACAGGGGAGAAAGGCTTGGGGAAGAGCAGGGGGGTGGTTGCATAGACTCGCTGCTGCACTGCTGCGCCCTTGGCTCACTGCAAGAGGGCAGGTCGGCTGCTGGGGTTCGTGCTGGCAGTCACAGGTGCAGAGGAGGAAAGGTGAGTGGGGGACAAGCAGGGGGGTGGTTGCATAGACTCGCTGCTGCACTGCTGCGCCCTCGGCTCACAGGAAGCGGGTTGGACGGCTGCTGGGGTTCGTGCTGGGAGTGACAGGCGCGCAGGAGGAAAGGTGAGCACAGAGCTTGAAAGGGGGTTCTGGAAGGGTTTGGGAGGGTTTGGGAGGGTTTGGGAGGGTTTTGGAGGGGTTTGGGAGGGGAGAGCAGGGAGGACGTGCTGGTGTTTCTGCAGCTGGCCCAGCAGCGGGAGTGGTGGTGTGGGGAGGCGGTGGTGGCGTGTGTGCGCGTGGCGGGGGCGTGCCTGGCTGCTGCGCCCTCGGCTCACCGCAAGAGGGCCGGGCGGCTGCTGGGGTTCCTGCTGGCAGTCACAGGCGCGCAGGAGGAAAGGTGAGTGGGGAACAAGTGGGGGACAAGCAGGGGACTGGGCTTGGGCAGGAGTGGTGGTGTGGGGAGGCGGTGGGGGCGTGTGTGCGTTTGCTTTTGAGTCGACTCAAACACAGCAGCAGGAGTGGTGGGGTGGGGAGGCGGTGCTGGCATGTGTGCGCGTGGCAGGGGCGTGCCTGGCTGCTGCGCCCTCGGCTCACCGCAAGAGGGCCGGGCGGCTGCTGGGGTTCCTTCTGGGAGTCACAGGCGCGCAGGAGGAAAGGTGAGCACAGGGCAGGGGAGAGGCTTGAACGGGGGTTTGGAAGGGGTTTTTGGGAGGGGGTTTAGGAGGGAAGGGAGCGGAGATAGGGGTGGGTTCTTTCCTTACCATTCCTTGCCTGTTCTGATCAATCCCTACCACTCTGTACCTCTCCTCCCGCTCTGTCCCTCAATCCCAGGCCATTCCTCCTAGCTGTATGTTACCTGCTGTCTGCACTGTTGTCAATCCCCTGTGCCTGTGGCACCACTCCTTACATTTTCTTACCTCTCCTTACCTCTCCTTACCACTCTATACCTTCTTTCCACCCCTTTCCACACCTCCAGGCCACTCCTAGCTGTGCAGTACATGCTTCCTGCATTGGTGCACATCACCAGTGAGCCACGTGGCTGCACATCATTGGTCAAGAGAGGAGGCCACATCCATGTGAGTAAAAGGAAAAAAAATAAAAATAAAAATAAAAAAGAAGCTGAAAACACTTGAAATCAGGCGCATTGTAGCAGTTTAAGGCTTTTACACAACTTTTATCTCTTTCCTCATATCGTTACCTCCCCATCAGCTTATAGACTACATGGTCGAAACCGCGCGCACCAACATGCACCACCAGCTGCGGTCGGGACCCGAGGGGCAGACAAGCCTCATGCAGGCTGGCACCCACAGCCTGCCTTATGTCTCTGCTCACCACACGTGTATTTTCCCCTTCACATGTGCCATTCCCTCCCATGCCCATCATCAGCTAATAGACTACATGGTCGAAACCGCCCGCACCAACATGCATCACCAGCTGCGGTCGGGACCCGAGGGGCAGACCAGCCTCATGCAGGCTGCTGACGTCATCCTCAACATCTTCGCTTGTGTAGGTTTATTAGGCGTTTATAAAAAACAGTATTTTCTTGTGTACATGATGCATTGGCATGTGTGTGCTAATGCCCACAGCAGCAAGCCTCATGCAGGCTGCTGACGTCATCCTTATCATCTTCGCATGTGTACGTGCATGTGGTTCAAAGCACTGTCATGACTTTGCATCCACTCGCTTTGTGTGTCCCTCCCATCCATCTTATCTGCCTCACCCCTCCTCTCCTATCCTCTCCTCTTCCCCATTCTCCACTTTCTTGCAGCAGAAGCAAATGCGAGTGCCCTTGGATCTGCATGGCTTTGCATTCACTCTCGTTCTGTGTCCCTCCCATCTATCCTGTCTGCCACTCTTCTTCCTCCCTCTCCTCTCCCCCTCTCTCCTCGCCCCCAATCTCCCCCGATTGCAGCGGAAGCAAATGCGAGTGCCCTTGGATCCACACGACTTTGTGCCGCTGCTGCCTGCCATGGCCGGATGGAGCAGCGTGAAAGGTGAGCCATGGAAGTAAAAGGTAGCCAAGCTATATAGCCCAGGCATTGCGAGTGAAGTCATCCCCTCGCCGTTGGATCCACACGCCTTTGTGCCGCTGCTGCCCGCCATGGCTGGATGGAGCAGCATGAAAGGTGAGGCAGTAAGATGAGAGGTGAGCAGCCCTCCGGTAGGTGGGTTCATGCCATGCCGTGCCATATGAGTGGGTTCATCGCCTTACCTCATGCGGATCCGAGGTGACTTTTGAGTCGACTCAAAAGTCACCTGGTGAGCAGCCCTCCGGTAGGTGGGCCATGCCATGCCATATGAGTGGGTTCATCGCCTTACCTCATGCGGATCCGCATGACTTTATGCCGCTGCCGCCGGCCTTGGCTGGGTGGAGCTGCAAAAGGTGAGGCAGTAAGGAGTTGACAGGTAGGCAGTGGGGGTGCAAGGCGAGCAGCCCTCGGGTGGGTAGTTGGCCCGTGCCATGCCATGCCATGCAAGTGGAGCGATCCCCTTGTCTCTGTCCTTGGATCCGCATGACGTTGTGCCGCTGCTGCCTCCCATGGCTGGATGGAGCACCGTCAAAGGTGAGCAGTGAGTGTGAAAACTGTGTAGCCCTCATAGCATGGTGGCTTTTGAGTCGACTCAAAAGTCGCAGTGAGTGTGAAAAGTATGTAGCCCTCATAGCATGTAGGCATGCCATGCCATAGCGTGTGAAATGTGAGCAGTGAGGGAGGGTGAAAGGTGAACTGGTGGGAAGTGGGAAGCGGTTCTTACCCTTTTCACTCTTCCCCCCCCTTTCCCAGGACCCCTCCCACCATGCAACCCCCCTTTCCCCTGCACCTACTCACCCTCTTAAATTCCACCTATCTTTCTCCCTCCACCAGGCATCGACCCCCGCACAACCTACAAGACCTCGCTTTAGCAGCATGCGTGAACGTGTCGATCCTCGAGCTCTCGTGTGAGGACGTGGTGAGGTCGCTCCTAAATGCTACCCCTCCTGTTATGCGTGCCCTGCCCTCCTCACCAGGCAACGATCCACGAACAACCTACAAGACCCTGGCGCTAGCAGCGTGTGTCAACGCGTCAATCCTCGAACGTCCTTGCAGGAGAGCTCTCCTGCAAGGACGTGGTGAAGAAGCAGCTCCACTCTTTCCCTTTCCACCCTTCCCTTCCCATGACCCTCACCAGGCAACGACCCACGAACAACCTACAAGACCCTGGCACTAGCAGCGTGTGTGAACGCATCAATCCTCGAGCTCTCGTGTGAGGACGTGGTGAAGAAGCGACTAGACCTGGCGACCTACAAGAAGCTGCCCAACTCGTTCGGCGTCATTGTCAAGTTTCTCGAGTTCGGCCACCGAGTAAGTGGATTGATGGGTTGGGTTAGGCCAGGTATGGGCGTGAAAGAGGCAGTGTGTATGAAAGTTGTAGCTCTCCTGGGTAAGGATTTGGTGAAGACGCGGTTAGACCTGACGAGCTGTACTAAGCTGGGAGGGTGGGTTGGTGGGCGACGCCAGGTATATGGGCTCGAGGGCCAGCGAGGACGTGGTGAAGAAACGAGGTGACTTTTGAGTCGACTCAAAAGTCAGCAGGGAGGGTGGGTTGGCGGGTTACGCCAGGCCAGGTTTGTGGGCTCGAGGGCCAGCTCACCAACCCACGACCTGCAAGAAGCTGCCCAACTCGTGGTTGTTGTCAAATTCCTCGAGTTCGGCCACCGGGTGGGTGGGTGGGCGGGGTTGAGAGGCTTCCAGATGGGTGTGGTGTGGTACGATTGCATGCTCTGTGAGTTGGAAACAGCCCAACTCGTTCGGGGTTATTATGGAATTCCTCGAGTTCGGCCACCGGGTGGGTCCGTGTGATTTGGATTATGTTGAATTCTCTCGAAGTTTGCTGGCCCTGTTCTGTACCAGGTGCTCCGCTATAAGTTGCTGTTGTTACCATCCCATCCCATGGCATGCTTAACCTTTTCTGTCGTCGTGTTTTTGTGCCATCTATGGCCCCGCTTGTGTGTGTCGTGCTCTCTGCTCCTGCCCCCTTGCTTCCTGCAGAATAGCACATCATTCAGTAGCGAGACGGAAATCAAGGAACTCTGGGACATCACTGTCGCATGTGAGTTTAGGGTTTAGTTTGGTTGATTATGTTATCAACGTCTATCACTTCAACAGATCCTGTGAATGTGGTGTGTTGCGTTGTCGTTATTCAACTCTCAGTTATTAAAGCAACGCTGCCTGAACCTTGTCCCTGTCATTTTTTTCCCTGCCAGCATGCACGGAGGGCCTGCCCCTGTGGCCCCAGCTGAAGCCAACTGCACTGTTCATGCTCCCTTCACATCCTGCCCCTGTTCACCATCCGTTCCCCCCGCCCACTCGTCCCTATCCCCCTCAATACACCAGCATGCACGGAGTGCCTGCCCCTGTGGCCCCAGCTGAAGCGAGCCATGGTCAAGTCGGAGTATTGGGGCAAGGTGTCGCGAAACAAGTGAGTCAGATTGGGTGAAGTGAGTTGAAGTGAACTGCCTTGGAAACAAGGTGTGTATGAAGTTACAACAGAGCTGCCTTTGAATTTCCCAAGGCGCAGCTGAAGCGAGCCATGGTAAAGTCGGAGTATTGGGGCAAGGTGTCGCGAAGCAAGTGAGTCAGTGTGTAAGATGTTATATATGAGCTGCATCTGAGCATTCTCTAAGGCACAGCTGAAGCGAGCCATGGTCAAGTCAGAGTATTGGGGCAAGGTGTCGCGAAACAAGTGAGTGCTTTGGAGTAATGCAGGTGAGGGGAACACGATGTTCTTTCAACACACACATGAGTGTTTTGGGTGTGTTTTTTAGGCTCCTTAAAAATCGACACATGAGTGTTTTGGGTGTGTTTTGAGTCGACTCAAAACACAGCTGGAGCGAGCCATGGTCTAGTCGGAGTATGGGGGCAAGGTCTCGCGAAACAAGTGAGTAACTTCCGGTGAAACTCATTTGCAACTGCCTCTGAATCTTTTCTAAGGCGCAATGAAGGCTGGTAACCCGGGAACCCCTTAACCAGGTGTGCAAGGATGCAAGGCTGAGGGAGCTGCTGGCAGTGGTGGCGTTTAACCGTGAAATACTTTCCTCATTCCCCATCCCCTCCCACTCTTCTCCGTTCAGGCTGGTAACGAGGGAGCAGCTGAACCAGGTGTGCAAGGATGCGAGGCTGAGAGAGCTGCTTTTAATGATGGCCCTTTCCTCACATTCCACTTTCCACCCTCCCTCTCTTTCTTACCCCTACCAGGCTGGTAACGCAGGAGCGGTTGAACCAGGTGTGCAAGGATGTGAGGCTGAGTGAACTGCTGGCAGTGGTGGCCTTCAGCCCGCACCTCACTCTTTCCCCTGCTACTTTTCCCCTCCAACACCTTCCCCCCACCCTGCCCCCCCCACCCCCTAGGCTGGTAACCCGGGAGCGGCTGAACCAGGTGTGCAAGGATGCGAGGCTGAGGGAGCTGCTGGCAGTGGTGGCCTTCAGCCCGTGACATCCTCTCGTTCTGCTACAGTAACAAGATTTATTATTTTGAAAGGCAGCATATTAATTGGTTATTTTGGCAAGGAAATATTCATTCATATCTTATTTAGGCAGGCAGTCATTGGTTGCGGAGCAAGGAGTCAGAGCTCCTGGCTCTGACACAAGTTATGGAACATGAAAGACATGTACCGGTAGATACGGTATAGTTGCTAATTGTATCAAATTCTAGCTGCTCATCATGACAGGTTAATACCAAAAACATCATTTGTAATCCCGGCATGAGATTGCCAACCAACCAACCATCATCCATTCTTTGTGTGTCCAATTACCGAAATTACAGGATGTGATTACTTGGGAAGAGGTCTGGTGTTATGAGTTGTAAAAGAGAGTGCGCAGAATAACGAATAACGAGAATGATTGATTACTGAATGTCGATACAATGAAAGAGACGAGGCCTAAATAGGGGGAAAGCTAGCTAGGCGGGGAGGTCGGGAAAGGATGGCTCGGTGATGGTTGCGATTGGTGCGGAGGCGACTCGGGGGTGGTTCGGTGCGACGAAATAGGCCCCACAGGTTCGTCGCGTGACCCTCGGGATGACCTCGCTAACGAGTGCCTCAGTAAGCAGGGCCCAAAATAGGTTTAGGTCCACTCTTTCAAATCAGGGTTCCAGGCCCCCAGTACCCTGACTGTTAGGGTAACATATTTCGTACCCTGCCAAAAACAGCCTAAAAAAACCAGTACACTGATTTTAAAAGGGTGAAATGTTTTCCGTGGAGAAATACTATTTTTAGTGTTATAACTCAACTGGATATGTCTCAGCTAGTCAGAAGTTAGTCAAGGTTTAGGAAGGTCGCGACTTCAAATCTGACTGGTGCACAAATTCTTTTGCGGCTTCGCAAGGAAAATCCTCGCTACAGAGGATTCGGTATCAGTGAAGTATACAGTGCACCCTGATATCGGCAGGGTAACAGAAATCGTTATCAGTGTAAATCAAAACGTAGCCTGTTTGCTCTAGGGTAAACAATTTGACACCCTGTTTTGGCAAGGGTAACTGGGAAAAAGCGGCCTACCATCAGGGCAAAAAGGGTATTTTACCCTTGAAATTTGGTTACTGACAGTAAGGATTTGTAAATCCTTACACTCTCCCACCTCCTAAGCAAGGCAGCCTTGTACTGAAAACAGACCCCACACTAGCGAGGATGCCGTAGATCTCCTCTTCAGCTGAATCCGACGGCTGAAATGCCTTTGACAATATTTTTGAAAAGGTTGGAAGAAATGTAGGCCGTTGATGTAGTCAGATGTCAATCGGACGGTCGCGGATGAACTGGCCCAATTTGAAAGAGAAGTTGGAATGTGGGCCGTTGATCGAATTCGATGTTGATCTGACGGTCGAAGACTGATGCGAGAAGGGAGGGAACCTGTTGACGCGAATTCAAACGCGACTGAGCAGGGACCGTAGATTTCGATGGAGCGATCGCAGTCGTCCGTCGTGCTGCTGCAACCTGACAAAGTCAGAAACAGGACCGAGAAAATGCCAAGGAAAGAACAGTGCAGCGCACTTTCTCCCCCCCTCCAAGAAAACACACCAAAATGTTTCCCGCAGCTGCGCCGAGATGAAAAATCAACAAAAACAGGTGTTAAGTCCCACGTAAGCGAGTATTGAGCGTAGAAGTCCGGGTGAGAATGTGTCGGTGTGGAAATGGATGACCAAAACCAGGTATTACGTGCCCAGGAAATCTTCGAGGGTGAACCCGCAGCAGTAGACCAGAAACCGAAATGTAAATGATCGAGTACTCGAACTGAAGTTATTTTGTCTTCACTTCGCCAGAATCAGGCGATATCTTCAGCAGTTGCAGCTGGCAGCACCTGACGTGGTAGGAATTAAACTCCTTTGTCGTGGGCGGGTCGAAGGCGAGTTGTCGTTAGTAGAGTTGGAATGGATCTGCCGAGCGATTTGTCGTAATGAGCCGAGGGCTCCTGGGCAGAGATGAAAATTGCAGCTGTCTCTCCCCCCCTCCACTGTTGCTGCCGCCTTCTTCAGTTCGTCGTAAGTCGTTCGTACCCCTTGAAAACTCCGTGTAGTTCCCGCGATGTTGCCCGAACGTTGTTGTCGCACGCCTTTAATGAAACGCCGAATACTCCTCCGAAACTGTCGGCACTCCTTGCCGAAAACCGGTAAGTCCCCGTTGAAACTCTGTAAATGTCGGTCGAAACACAACCCCGTAAATCCTCGGTTGCAGGTGCAGTTCTCCTCCGAAAATCTCGGACGTAGTTTCCTTCGATTTACCCGACCCCAGCATGTGGGTTCAATCGAGAACCGGGGACTTGCCCTGGGCTATTCCGAGACCGAATCTCACGGAACCTAGTGGCATCAACGCCGTTGACCTCGTCGTCGAAAGCTGCTCCCGCCGATGTTGCTTAACAAATAACCACTCAACTCCTACTGGCGCTTTGCAGATGTTTCACCCATCGCTCGTCGCCGGCAGGTAAATCCCGAAACTTCGGCTGCTCCCACGCTCCCTTTTAACTGAAGAATTTCCCGCGGTGTACGTTTAAACACCAGTGGGTTCTAGGTATCCCCGCCGCTGTGTTTCTTGCCAGGCGACTTAAAAAGTGACCCTTCAGGCGAAGTCCCCCAACGGCTCAACCGCACTCCAAGAAGCGAAGAAACACCCTCAGCTCCAACTCCATTTTTTTTTTCCATCTTTCTTTTTTCACCGAATGAAGATCACCCGAAAATCGTGGTTGAGGCAGCAGTCCCGAAGTTTTCTCCGCCGTGCAGCCCCGACGTTTCCGCCGTCAACCCTGGTATTCCGACGTCCACCCGTCTTCATACCCGTCGAAGCCACTTAGCAGATCCCAGGTATCATTGGCGATTCACCCCTCGCCGTGCTTCCATGTTTAAACTATCTGACCCTTTTGGCGTCCACCTAGTAGACCCCGAAATTCACGGTAGAGTGATGCTTGGGCTCAACCACACTCCAGAGATCTGCCGGATCACCCACAACTTTCCCTCCGTCAATTTTGTCTTCACCCCCCGACAATTTCGCTTCCCGCCGTTTCACCCAACGTCCGCTTTTGTCGGATGGGGTATTGTTGTTGTTGCCCGCGCGAACCCGGCCACGGTGGAGGGGCAAAAACTATCGGAGTCGGGCCGCATCGGCATATGCCTTGGTGCTCCAGAGGCGTTCTGAAGGAGAGGAGGGAGGGAGAAAGTGAGCACAGGGGAGAGAAGGGGCATCAGAACACGTGCAGTCTTTTCTCTGCCTCTCCGCTTGCTTGGGCCGCATCGGCATATGCCTTGGTGCTCCAGAGGCGTTCTGAAGGAGAGGAGGGAGGGAGAAGTGAGCACAGGGGAGAGAAGGGGCATCAGAACACGTGCAGTCTTTTCTCTGCCTCTCCGCTTGCTTGGGCCGCATCGGCATATGCCTTGGTGCTCCAGAGGCGTTCTGAAGGAGAGGAGGGAGGGAGAAAGTGAGCACAGGGGATAGAAGGGGCATCAGAACACGTGCAGTCTTTTCTCTGCCTCTCCGCTTGCTTGGGCCGCATCGGCATATGCCTTGGTGCTCCAGAGGCGCTCTGAGGGAAGGGAGGAAAACAAAGAGCAAGTTAAGCCAGTTGGTTGGAAATGTTACGAAATAAACAGAGTGTCATGGTGGGAGTGTATTTTCATGTCCCCCAGCAAGTAAAACAACAAGCTTGCTATTAAGAAGAACAACTGCCACCCAACCAGCCCTGCTTCTCACCAGCAGCAGCGGCTCGCGGCCAGATGGTTGGCATGAAGTCAAATGAATCGACCTTCTCACTCCACATGCACACCTCTCCCCTTTCCAGTAGCTAACAGGGTATAACGCTCATCATACTGCAACATGATGGTACAGCAGCTTGCCCTTCATCTCACCAGCAGCAGCAGCAGCTCGCGGCCAGATGGTGGGCATGAAGTCGGATGAGTCGACCTTCTCACTCCACATGCACACCTCGCCCCCCCTCCATTCGGCAAATAGAGAACATTTATCATAACGGAATGACTAAGACCTCCATCTCACCAGCAGCAGCAGCAGCTCGCGGCCAGATGGTTGACATGAAGTCAGACGACTCCACCTTCTCACTCCACATGCACACCTCTGCTCTGCCCCCCTTCCACTAGGATTGCGAAACTCCTTGTGAGACAGTACAAGTTTACGCAACAAGTTCAGCATCGCACTCACCAGCAGCAGCGGTGGCTCGAGGCCAGATGGTCGGCATGAAGTCAGATGAGTCGACCTTCTGCCCCACATGCACACCTCTTCTCTGCTCCCCTTCCATTAGAATAGCGAACTCCTAATGTGGCAGTGCAAGTTTTCTCAGCTAGTTCAGCATCGCACTCACCAGCAGCAGCAGCAGCTCATGGAAAAATGGTGGGCATGAAGTCAGATGAGTCGACCTTCTCACTCCACATGCACACCTTGACCCCCATCTTATTTCCTTATTTAGTGCAACACTCATTATAATCAAACACACTGATGCCCCAACCAGTCATCTCACCAGCAGCAGCAGCAGCTCGTGGCCAAATGGTCGGCATGAAGTCGGACGAGTCGACCTTCTCCCCCCACATGCACACCTCTCCCCCTTCCAGGAGGAGGAGGATTGCGCAACTCCTTGTGAGACAGAACAAGTTTACGCAACAAGTTCAGCATCACACTCACCAGCAGCAGCGGCAGCTCGCGGCCATATTGTGGGCATGAAGTCGGATGAGTCAACCTTCTCCCCCCACATGCACACCTCGCCCCCTTCCAATAACTGCTCCGGTATAGAGCCATCCACTACAAGGTGCTGTGTCGGGTCTGTACTGTACACTCTATTCCAATCCTGCATAGGGGATGGACAGGGAAAGGGAGAGGGAAGGAAGAGGAGGTAGTGAGAGCCTCGTTATAAGCTACTGGATGGATGGTTCATGCCCAGATTCCTAATATTGAGTGCAACATTATACAGCACTTGTCGTGCCCATGTAACCGCTACAGGAAATTCCTGGTACACGTTGCTGCAGAAAAATTGGAAGACTTCCCATGTCCTCTTCAATTAATGTCCTCTTTTGAAAGTGCTTCACCATAAGCCACTCACCACGTCCATGGAGTCGAGGTACCATCCGCCATACACATTGCTGTAGATTATTCGGAACCCTTTAAGCATCATGCCATCAATGTTATCCTCATTAAAAAGCTTCTTGTTATAAGCCGCTCACCACGTCCATAGAGTCGAGGTACCATCCGCCATACACATTGCTGTAGATTATTCGGAAGTTGTCACGAGCCATGCTTCCAAGGATGTCAACATTCAACCTGACACAAGTGAAACAATTATATATTCTGTCAGAGGCAGGTCAGAAGCAAGGGTAGCATGTCAGACGAAGAAAATAGAAGAACGTGGCATTTTCTTGTATTCTAAACATGAGATTTTTTTTGCTATCGACCTAAGATAGATATTCTTTTAATCATACCAGTTTTGAAGGATGGTGGTCGTCTTGTTAAGGTCCTCTGAGAAACCCTGGTATGATTCCTCCCTGCACATGTGAAGGGAAACAAGCAGAAAGGTGACTCAGAAGTTCACTCCGGATTTTTTTGAAAGTTTTGAAGAATGGCGGTTGTCTTGTTGAGGTCCTCTGAGAAACCCTGATAGGATTCCTCCCTGGATGCAGAGGGGGAAGAAGCAGAAAGGTGCCTCAGAAGTTCACTCAGGAGAAGGTTGAAAAGTTTTGAAGGATGGTGGTCCTCTGAAATAACCTGATAGGATTCCTCCCTGGATGCAGAGGGGGAAGGAGCAAAGAAATGAGGAGGGAAACAAAGGGGTAGGAGGGAGATGTGAATAACTCGGTTAGAGAATTAAGATGAGACCATAATACCGTGGGACATGTGAGCTTTGATGGGAGAAGACCATGGGATGAGATGACACGAAACCATAATTACTACAGCACACATACCATACTAGAGTCTTCTCCCATCCCAACTCCAAGGCGATGGATTGGACTTGGCTGGAAACACATGACAGGAAACCATGACTAACAGACATACCACATGGTTACCACAGCACACATACCATACAATAGTCTTCTCCCATCCCAGCTCCAAGGCAATGGATCGAACTCGGTTAGAGAAGTAGCGGACGGCATCCCTTGGCTGCATTCCCTGCTGGTTCATCCTGTGAAAGGGTGTGAGACGTGGGGCAGAACGAACATGGAGAAAGGTCAACAGCTGGATGACTTTTGAGTCGACTCAAAAGTCACTTCATCCTGTGAAAGGGTGTGAGACGTGGGGCAGAACGAACATGGAGAAAGGTGGACAGCTGGATGACTTTTGAGTCGACTCAAAAGTCACTTCATCCTGTGAAAGGGTGTGAGACGTGGGGCAGAACGAACATGGAGAAAGGTGGACAGCTGGATGACTTTTGAGTCGACTCAAAAGTCACTTCATCCTGTGAAAGGGTGTGAGACGTGGGGCAGAACGAACATGGAGAAAGGTGGACAGCTGGATGACTTTTGAGTCGACTCAAAAGTCACTTCATCCTGTGAAAGGGTGTGAGACGTGGGGCAGAACGAACATGGAGAAAGGTGGACAACTGGAAAAGCATGCGAAGCATGCGTACAGCATTATCAAATATCAAGTGTTACAGAGTTAAATGCACTACATTGTATTGTATGGTAATTCTGGTTAGGTTACTACATGTTACACCAGTGAAAAACGACACTAGGACATGCCAAAAGTGCGATGCACTGTAACAATTAATGGTAACCATACTATGGTAGTGGCGAATGCGGCATTGCCACTCAGCGGATGACATGACATGGCAGCATGGCGACACAATGAAGCATACATAATATAGCAGCGTCAGAGCAATCCTAGCCGCTCAGGGCTTACCACTGGGAGATCTGTTCAGACTTTCTCCAGCAGTCTGGGGGAAGGGAGGTACAGGATCAGGGAGGGAAGGGTACGAGAGAATGGAAGGGCCAAGTGAATGGAAGGGGTACGAGAGAATGCACTGCACACCACTGGAAAATTTGTTCAGACTGTCTCCAGCAGTCTGGTGGAAGGGAGGCAGGTACAGGGTCAGAAAGAGAAGGGTACAAGAGAATGGAAGGGGGAAGGGGTAAGAGAGAAGGCCCACCATTGGGAAATCCGTTCAGACTGTCTCCAGCAGTCTGGCGGAAGTGAAAGGAGGCAGGTACGGGGTCAGGGAGGCAAGGAAGAGAGAACGGGCCAACAAGGGCGATAGACAGTGAATATTTCATTTTGAGGCGCCAAAACCTAATCCGAGTCAGACAGGAGAAGGGAAGAGAAAACCAGAAAATAAGAGTGGTTGCTTGCTCCCCTTTATCCTCCCTCATTTCCCCCTTCCCACTCTCCATCTCCCTCTCCCTTCCTGTCCCCTACCTTCCTTCACTTCATCCGCGCCTATGTGAATCCTGCTGCCTGTGAACACTGACTGCAGATCTGCAGCGCAGGCCTACTTCACGCCCCCTCTCTCATCCCTCCCTTCCCACTCTCTGCTCCCTCCTCCCTGTCCCTTACCTTCCTTCACTTCGTCCCCTCCTATGTGTATTCTGCTGCCTGTGAACACGGAGCGCAGGTCTCACTTCTCCCTCGTTTCCCCCTTCCCACTCTCCCTCTCCCTCCCTTCCTGTCACCTACCTTCCTTCACTTCGTCCCCTCCTATGTGTATTCTGCTGCCTGTGAACACGGAGCGCAGGTCTCACTTCTCCCTCGTTTCCCCCTTCCCACTCTCCCTCTCCCTCCCTTCCTTCCTGCCACCTACCTTCCTTCACTTCGTCCCCTCCTATGTGTATTCTGCTGCCTGTGAACACTGAGCGCAGGTCTGCAGGGAGGTGCGGGAGGGGAGGGGCGGGGAAGGGAGAGAGCGGGGAAACGAGCAGGAGAGAAGGGGAAAGCCGGGGCAACAAGCAGAGTGAGAGTCTTCGCCTGTGTGAATTCTGCTGCTAGGAGAACAACGGGGCAACGGGTAAACAGTAGGGGCGTAGGTCCGAAGGGGGAAGAAGGAAAAGAAGGGTGGAGGGATCCAAAGAGGAGAAATGTCGGGAAAGACGGGGAGAAATGGAGAAGGGAGAGGATGGATATGCGTGGTACGTTGTGAGCGATTTTTTAGCATACCTCGAATGAGCACGCCCTTGATCAGCTCGAATGTAAACTCGTTAGAGACATCGAGAGGCTCCTTGCATTGCAGGTGGGGCTGGGGTGACTTTTGGGTTGGCTCAAAAGAACATGCTACCTTCTAGCATACCTGTGAGCACGCCCTTGATCAGCTCGAATGTAAACTCGTTAGAGACATCGAGAGGCTCCTTGCAGGTGGGGCTGGGGTAGAGAACAGGGTAGCCCACACCCCTGGAAGGACGATGGGGCGGTGAATGGGGATGGGGTTGGGAAGGCAATTAATATATATATATTTGAAGGATGCAATACATCATACAATGTACACATCCACAGTCGTAACTGATTGGGAAGGCACGATGGCATGGGCAGGATCCACCAAAGCACTGAAACCTCTCAAAATATGACTGAACACATGAAATGAAATGACTTGGTGAGACAGGTGGCATGGACAACGATTTACTATTCCTATCTCACCATGAGGTGGCATGAGCGGGAGTGTCGATTTCAGGAATGACCACAATGCCACGTGCTGCTGCATATCTGGTGGGCGGGGAGGGGTGCAGAGCAGTGAAAGGGAGTGAAGGGGCGTGAAAATTGGTGCAGAAAAGAGTGTGCAGGCATAGAGGAGGAGAAACAATGTATGCTCTTTTCTGTTATATCCATCGGTCACCTGAAGGAGTATATTAAGACTCGCATGACCTGAGAATTCACCAGAGATGTGTTTTTGGCCCCTGAGTGTGTGTACAGTGCTACGCCTGGGAGAAAACTCCCGAGGAAATGGAAGGAGGAGGTCCTCTAAAAAATCACCTGAAGAAACGCCTGAACCTTACCTGACGATGTGTTTGGCGTCCCTGAGTGTGTATCGCTCTGCCTGGGAGAAAGCTCCCTCCCAGAGGCGAGGCGAGGGACGAGAGGTCCTCTTGAAACAACCTCAACAAAAGCACCTGAACATTCACCTGACGATGTGTTTGGCGTCCCTGAGTGTGTACCGCTCCGCCTGGGAGAAAGCTCCCTCCCAGAGGCGCGGGAAGGAGGGCGTTTCAATGGGGAACGACTGCGCGTCCACCAGGTGCCAGTGGCTGGAGAAGGGTGGAGAGGGGTGGAGAGGGGTGGAGAGGGATGGAGGTGTGCATGTGAGAACTGAAGTGCATGTGATGCATGGTGAAGGACGGAGTGGAGGCAGACAGAAGCAATGAGGGGGAATGGAGGGGAGACGAGACTGGAATCTGGGAGAGGGGAGAGAGACGAGGAGGACGAGCAGCAGGACACGTAACAGCACACGAGTACTCTCTGAATTGCTGTTACGTCTGCTGCTACTCGTCCTACTCGTCTCTCTCCCCTCTCCCAGATTCCAGTCTCGTCTCCCCCATCCCCCCCTCACTGTTTGTTGGTGCTGGTGCTACCCACTCTCCCATACCACCACCTCTCTATGACTCCAGGAGAGCGGTGGAAATGGGAGGAGAGGTACAGACAGTGGGCAATTCAGACAGGGAATGCATGTATGCATCCCACCCATCCCTGCACCCACCCATCCCTCCAACCCACCCATCCCTGCACCCACCCATCCCTGCATCTCACCCATCCCTGCACCCACCCATCCCTCCAACCCACCCATCCCTCCAACCCACCCATCCCTGCACCCACCCATCCCTGAATCTCACCCATCCCTGCACCCACTGATCCCATCCTGGCACTCACAGAACATTCAGCTTGGCATAAGACATGTCGTCCGGCACTCTCTCTATCTCCACCACAGGGAGGAAATGCCGCCCACCCATCATGCACCGATCCATTCCATTCCAAACCATCCCAGCATCCACCCCCACCTCTCCCAGTACTCACAGAACATTCAGCTTGGCATAAGACATGGCGTCAAGCACTCTCTCTATCTCCACCACTGGGAGGAAATGCCGTGCCGTGTCTGCTCAAACACAGGGGGGCGGGGGAAGGTGGGGAAAGGGGTTGAGGTGAGGGAAAGGGTGGGACTGGAGCAGATAAGGGGGAAGAGGAGGGAGGTGAGGGTGTAAGACATGGCGTCAAGCACTCTCTCTATCTCCACCACCGGGAGGAAATGCCGCGCCGTGTCTGCTCAAACACAGGGGGACGGGGGACGGTGGGGAAAGGGGTCGAGGTGAGGGAAAGGGTGGGATTGGAGCAGATAAGGGGGAAGAAGAGGGAGTTGAGCTTGGCATAAGACATGGCGTCAAGCACTCTCTCTATCTCCACCACTGGGAGGAAATGCCGTGCCGTATCTGCTCAAAGCAGGGGAGGGAAAGGAGCAGGGGGGCGGTGGGGAAAGGGGGGTGAAGTGGGGAAAAGGGGGGAATGGGAGCGGAAAAGGGGGAAGGAGAGGGAGGCGAGGGCATAAGACATGGCGTCCAGCACTCTCTCTATCTTCACCACGGGGAGAAAATGCCGTGCTGTCTCGACTCAAACGCAGGGGGGAGAGAGAGGGAGGGAGGGGGGAAGGAGGGGAAAGGGAAGGAGGGGTGGAAGGGAAGGGGAGGGAGAGAAGGAGTGAGGACAAAACGGAAGAGAGCATCTTCCACTCCAGTGCTAAACGCACCCCATGGATGGTCACAAGGCGAGATGAGTGGTGATGGTACGGGTAGCGACACAGCTGCCTATGAGACCTGTGAAAAGCCTCCTTGCATATCAGACTCACTCACCAATCAGCAGCCCACGGTGGTTGAAGCGGGGAGCATCGTCCACTGTCAGGGGCACACCTTAGATAGTCACGACCCGAGATGGGTGGTGGTAGGGTAGCGACACACCTATGAAAGAAGTGTGGAAAACTATCTTGGTAGCGACACACCTATGAAACAAGTGTGGAAAACTATCTTATCTTGCTGCATTTCACTTCACTCACCGATGAGCAGCCCTCGGTGGTGGAAGCGAGGAGCATCTTCCACTGTGAGAGGCACACCATAGATCGTCACGAGGCGAGACGGGTGGTGGTAGCGACACAGCTGGCTGAGCGTCTGTCGGGAAGGCACAGGTATGGAGAGGAAAGAGTAATGAAGGGACAGAGGTATGGGAAAAAATCACGGGGAAGAGGTAGGAGAAAGCTTTGATAGCGAGCATAGAGAGCAAAGCAGAGATCTTTCAGCAAAGCAATACAGCTCGTTTCGCATGTGTGGAGCACAAGCAGATGTTCCTTCAAATACCTATCAGGTCCCTTAGTTACAGGGTTTGAGTTAAGTATCTGAAGGGACACTGCCTACCGCATTCTGTTAAGGTGGGACAACAGCGGATTTTGTACAACCAAAATGTACAACATCTCCCAGACAACCAGTGTTTTTTGAGAATTATCAACGAGTGTTTTTTGAGAATTCTCAAAAAACACTCGCTGAGAATTCTCAAAAAACACTCGCTGAGAATTCTCAAAAAACACTCGCTGCAAAATGTACAACATCTCCCAGACAACCACTGCCTACCTGTTTAGAAAACCACGGGGCCTGGCCAGAGCACTGTAGATGACTTATTTCCTCTTCATCCGCTTGCTGCTTTCAAGATTTACCTCCTTGATACATCCTACTTCCATATATGCCTCAGACCTCACTCATACACCACTCACTTGAGACATACATCTTACCTCTAGCGCTCTGAGTGCACCGAAGGAGGTTTTTGCCTGCGATAAGAGGATGGGGAGGAGGAAGAAGGGGGTGAAGGAGGGCGGAGGAGGGAATGGGAAGAGGGAGAGCGAGATGGGGTTTACGGGGTTGGGTGAGTGGGCTTAGGAGGGGTGGGACGGTTAAGAAGCATAACGGAAAAGACCCAGTGAGGGGAGAGGGGGGTGGTGGAGAACTTCTGAATGAACTCCAGCTTGAAAAGGGGAAAGAAGTAGCTCAATCCTCATCTCACACAACAGGCAAAGGAGGGGGTAATGTGGAAACTGGCGGGTGAATATGGAGATGATATACGGAGCAGCAGCAGCAGCAGCGACGGTAGCGGCAGAGCCAGAAGCCTAAATTCGCTTAGTCTGAAATTTTCGTAGAGCGACATACCTGAATTGCAGCAGTGCCTGGCTCTCCCCGTGCTCCAAGCGAGAGAGTCTAGCACGCTTTCATCATTCATGCACCCCTACGCAGGAGTTCTTTTGGAAAATCTAACTCCAGAGATTGACGTACCTTGATTACAGCGGCGCCTGGCTCGCCCCGTGCTCCAAGGGAGAGCGTGTAGCTCTCATCCACTCCTACGTCCAGCTGAGAGTTGAACAGAGGAACCAGAGGAACCAAAAACAGAGATACAATGAGTGTTTTCAGACAGAGAATTATCTTTCGCATCGGATCAAATATACACACATCGGCCGAATGTAATTCTCTCTCTGGCCTCCCCTCGTTATAGTGCCTCCTCGCTTCCTCACCGATTCTCCTGGCCGCGCTATTTGCACGTCGATTCGCTCTATCACCACCACTCTCGCACGAGAGTGTGTTGCAGCATCCCCCTTCTGCGACGTCGAACTCGTGGACGAATCTTCAAGCTCAGAGTAGTCATCGCCATACTCGTGCGCGAAAATCATGCGATGGTAACGGTCGTAAGCTTTCGTTACAAGCGCTCGGGAGGAATCCTCGTCGGCCGCTGATGCTCTACCAAACGAGACGGTCAACCGGCTAAACGGGCTGAAAATTGCCGGCCATGCGCCGTCTTTTCCTTTGGACGACGTGAGCTGACGTGGCATGGGCCAGATGCGCATGTTCGGGTCCAGAAGGGCCGGAACTTTCGCAGCCAATAGATCGCCGTCTTGGTTATTCGTTCCTTGTCGCACTAAATCGTCAAGCCGATGCTCCCATTCTTCCATGCGGCGTTGATCCAACTCAGGCTTATCGCCAAGAACTTCTCCGTCATTTTCGGACGTGGAGACCGGTAACAATTCAGAATCGACGATTCTGTGCGGGATCAGAAGAACTATAAGCACGCAGAGGATAAGTAGGAGGAGGAGGATCAAGAATATGGAGGTCCGGGCGGAAATTGAGAAACTAGCTGCTGATTTTGACCCGGATTTCGATTGCGAATCGATGAACGGCTGACATTCTCGTATAGATTCGTCGCTGTTTGGCATTGGTCGAGAGGCTTCGATGTTGTCATCAGTCATGCTGATAACGGCCTCTTCGTCGTTTCGCGTAGGAGCTGACATGTCGATCGAGCGTTACACTCTGACTAGGAAGTTCCGAGTAAAAAGCAACTAGCTGCGAAGCTTCGTCACCGCCTCCGTCGCTATACGAATGTTTTTGCACAAATGAGATTGGAAGGACTCGTGGCGTGGTCACACCGCAGTCCCTAAAAGCGGACCACGCACTACTAGCAGTAGCAAACGGACCTAGTCACCAATGGCGGGGTGCTTCTGGGGAAAGATAGCAGAAAGGGGAAGATCAGGCAGTTGGGATTGGAAAGAGGACCATGACCTTCGCCGAGAAATCAAGTGAACCATGAATAACTTATATTACACCTGAAATGCTTGAGCGAAGAAATTAGGCAGTGAAATTGAGAGGGAAAGTCTGGATGAAGGTTCTCGGAGGGAATATGCTGTCTGTGGCGAAAATGACGGGTAACCACGCTGTACCGCTTAGAAACGTCTATAATTTCTCTGCACCATCTGACATCCATCTCTCCAAGGATCTGCTTTAAAACTAGCAGCGGCAGGCTGTGAAAGTGACTTGGCTGCAGCTGAAGCGAACAGACGAATGCGGAGAGGTTCACTGGGCCCCGAAATTTATGGACTGCATGGCACTTCCTAGCCGCAAAGTACAGTGGTTTGTAGGTGTGATATGCGATTTCATGCGTTTCGTGTAATTGTGCGATGGCAGCCCATCCGATGGATGACCGACATCGGCGTCTGTCTTTCACACCTTCCTGGCCCCACCCCATTTGAGCTGCGGTGAAATGAGGGGAAACACCTGCAGGAGTAGTTTTTTGCGAGAGCTGGGCTTTCATGGCAGCGCAATGAGAAGTATTTGCGAAATTGTTCGCTGAGGCTTTGCGATCGAAAAAACTTGCGATGCGATAGAGTGTGCCGTTGCCGTAGCATAGCCTACCCAAGCCAAGGTCTGCTGCAGAGGCAAGCTGGTAACCCGAACCAAGCATACAGCCAATCGCGACCTGGGTGTGGAGATTGGAACGCGTGGCTTGGCTGTGATTGGTAGAAAATGCTGTCCCTTTCGACATCACCGAGGTTGACTCTATCAGGGCCCAGTTCGGCAGCCAGGGGGAAGAAAAATGTTAGGAAAATGAGGGGAAGGTGAGGCGTGCGTCAACCCAGGGTCAACGAATTTTGACCCTGGTTTGACCGCACCGCGGACAACCTGCGCCATGGGGGAGCCGGCGCAGGTTGGAGGGGGGAGATAGGAAAAAACGCCGCAGGTCGAGGCACATTTGCCCTCACATTCGAATGTCCCAGAGCACTGTAGCAAAGCAAGAATTATCGCCCGAAAAAAAATCCCATGCACATTTTCCCTCGAGTAGGATTCTTCTGTGCAGTAACCCTTTATTTCGTAGGGTGCAATGTTGTCCCGTGAACAGTGATAATGTGGAATCAAAAAGTTGATTCTTCTGTTTTCAAAGAATCACTTTCTTCTTCCGTCTCACTAGGGCGGAAGCTTTCCGCCAGGGGGGGGAGAATAAGGACAGAAGACGGCGCGGAATCAATTTTTGATGGTGTACGCGTCGCTGCTGTAAAACACCTGCGCCTCGATTTCCGAAAATTTTACCCTACAACCCGCACTGTAGAGCCCTCGATAATGCGATTGGAACCTTCATGGAAGAAACCAGAAATGTTTCTTCTGTCTTTCTTCCGTGGCTGCCGAACTGGGCCCTGGGCCTTGAGATTCTCAAATTATAAAAATTCCCGCCTTCCACCACCTCTAGAATTCACCTTTTTCTCCTCATCGTCAATTCCTTGGGGGGGACTCTAGTAGCTGCCTCCCAGATCAAACCTCAAACCTCTGAGCACGTGGCGCCGTGACTCTGACACGCAAGGATCAAGAATATTGATACAGATGCACAAGCAGCACAGCGCAAAGATAGCCTCACAAGTAGCCCTGTTTCTAAGTTTTCATCGTCGTTGTCCCTATCTTTGGTGGCCTTCGCTCAAGTCGTCGTCGTTCACCCGCACATCCCTCGATCTTATCCCAACGTACCCCTCCTCGTTCGAACATCGATAGACAGAACCTGAGACGATGTCTCAAGGAAGCGGATTCGTTCCTGTGTCCTGCTCCCCCAACCCAACTGTACACGGCGACTGTCAAAATGGAGACCTGGAGTCCCACTTCCTTCTTCCCGAGTCTGAGTTGGAGCATTCGCTTCCCGATGATATTCCTCTGGAGCACCTGAGAAAGTGTTTTAGCGTCGACACTCTTCTGACGGATTTCCAGCGCACTGGAATCGAAACCGCCAGCCCTTTTGTTCCGAGACACGCAGTTGCTGCATCAACTGCCGACGGAAAAACGGTAGACCAGGGAAAGCACCGAGAAGGAACTACCGGAAGAGCATTTTTAGGAGGTTCAGAAAAAGGAGAAAGATTAGAAACATCTGAAAAATCTCACGATCTCGATTCAGAATCTCCCATGGCAGCCGCTCCGGGGACACTAGCGGTAGCGCCGCCACATCTTCTGGAATCCATGTTTCCCGGCATGGAGTTCCCTAGGCCGTTCTCGAACGGGGACGTCGCGAAGGATTTCGCGAACGGCGAGAGCACCAAGCTCTCGCAAGCGGATGTAGCGAACAGCTTCTACGAAACGGGAAAAACAGTCAACCGAAACCAGCGCGGTAGCGGTACCGCTGCTGCTGGTTCTGCTGCTGCCACGTCTCCATCCGGTGCCGTGGACGCTGCTGACGTGGCCGGGTTACACGCGCAACGGGACGCGGTTTTGCGGGGATTCGAGATCACGGAGCCGGCGAGAGACGACAAGGAGTCGGGCGAGAAGGCCAAGTACATGGCGTCTATCCTGGAGGCTTATCAGAAGCTGCTGGAAGAACGGACCCAGTACCATTTCGGTGAGTCGGAATGTTGAAATGGTGTTTACTTTTGGTCTTTTAGGTGTAGCTGAGACAAGGAGACGGGCGAGAAGGCCAAGTACATGGCGTCGATTCTGGAGGCTTGCCAGAAGCTGCTGAAAGAACGGACCCAGTACCTCTTTGGTGAGTGACTGTCGTCGATATGGGTTTAAGGTTGGGTTTTCAAGGTGTCCCGATAGCAGGGAGAAAAGGGGTACATGGCGTCTATTCTGGAGGCTTACCAGAAGCTTCTGAAAGAACGCACTCAGTACCACTTCGGCATGTAGGAATTGAGTTGATGTCTGGTCTTGGAGAATGAGAGAGGGAGAAGGCCAAGAACATGGCGTCTATTCTGGAGGCTTTTCAGCAGGCGCTAGAAGAGCGCACTCAGTACCACTTTGGTCGGTGGGACTGTTGTTGAAATGACGAGGTTGGTGATTGGCCTTTGCTGTGTCTCGAAGGCAGGGAGAGAGGGGAGGGGGAAGGCACATGACGTGGATTCTGGAGGCCTATCAAAATTTGCTTGTAGAACGCACGCACTCGGAACCACTTTGGTGAGTCGGACTGTAGGGCAGGGTTGGTGTTTGATCCTTGAAATGGCACGTATGTGAAGTCGTTGAAGCAACCAGCTTGATGGGATGGCGAGCTGGTGGGAGGCTGCTGAGAGGCTGCTGGTAGATTGGTCCCCAGAGGGTGAATACATACAAGGCAGCTGTCATGGGTGCTCATTTGTGGCTGTTCATTTCGGTTTGACAATTGTGTCGCATCCATCTGCTCTTAATTCCTTCCAGGCTAACTGTACAGCCTGGAGATTGGCATATAGGGGACCTGAAACATTGTATCATTTCTTTCACTGTTTTTTTCGTTTTCTCCTCCCAGGCTATCCGTACAACCTGGATTTTGACTACGGCGCCCTGACAGGTCTGCAGCACTTCTCCATAAACAATCTCGGGGATCCCTTTATCGAGAGCAACTATGGCGTGCACTCCCGCCCGTTCGAGGTAATTTTGATCAACTCAAAAGTCTTCACTATGAACAATCTCGGGGATCCCTTTATCGAGAGCAACTATGGCGTGCACTCCCGCCCGTTCGAGGTATTTATTTCTGCCTCTGCAAGACCCTGGTTAAACCCCCAAGCTTTCTTTTCTCAGGCGCCTCAAAACACGTATCCCCGTCCGTCTGAAAAAAAAAATCCGCCACTGCAAATTCCTGGGAAAACCTGTCGATTCTTTTTTTTTTCCTAGGTGAAATCGAATTCAAGGATGCACTTCTGCCCGTTTGATGTGTTTCCGCCTCTGTAAATCCTTGGTGAAACCATGCCCAACTAGTGGGAAGCATATAAGAAACCACACTGCACCGCACTCAACCTCCTTTCACTCCTCGCAGCCCCTGTGTTTCCGCCTGTGCTAGGTGGGCGTGCTCAACTGGTTTGCCCGTCTGTGGGACTTAGACGAGGGTGACTATTGGGGTTACATCACTAACTGCATCCTAACATTTCCTCCCGTGAACCCCTCTTCACCACTCTTCACCTCTTCCCCCACCATCGATGCCAGGTGGGAGTGCTCAACTGGTTTGCTCGCCTGTGGGACTTAGACAAGGGCGACTATTGGGGCTACATCACCAACTGTGGCACAGAAGGGAATCTCCATGGCATCCTGGTTGGGTACGCCCTGCCCCTCAGCACCGCTCTGCACCCCTCTTTGT